CTTCATGACATGATTTTGGAAACAAACTGCCCAACGAAACCTCACCACTTTCATTAGAAACTTTATAAGATTAGGAAAATAACATAAAATCAGGTGTAAAGCCAAAAAATTGACAAGGAGAACTACTGAAGACAAGTTAATAGTCAGTAGGTGATAAATGTCAGATTCATCGCGATCATTAACTTCACTTGTTAGTCACCTAAATCCTTTCTCATGACGAAAGGTTCTGCTAAAATTAAAAGAAATGAGTTGTGTCTGTGTAAAACACGAAAACAGTGGTCGGATATTCATGGTCGACTGAGTAAGATCTTTTGAGATACGTACATCACTTATGAACGTATATGTCGGACATTTGTGACATAGCAGTATCCCTGACGTCACATCCTTCTGGCATACATACAAAGATAAACTAATACAGGTAAGCTCAAGCAGTTATGAAGTATAAGCCGCATAATGGAATATGTTCTTATAAAATGAAGTCCAAGCGAGCAAGGTGACATAAATGCCTTCCAAATAATACAAGATTTTTTATTTGTAAATGAAAAAAACGGTGTTTACGGATTATACGAAACCAGCGAATTCGAAAGCAGCAGGCTGTCGATAAATACAGCCTGAAGTTTGTGGTGAGATTCAAAATAAGTGTTGAAATTATTATTAGGAATCTCTAATAACTAGTTGCGATACCAGCTTCACTAGTGCATAATTTGGTGTAGTCTATGCCTTACCACATGAAACATAGCTAATGAAACAAATGGTCAAACTTCGCAGTTTATATCACATTCAGCACGTATATAGGATAGCAGCTAATAGAATGCAGTCATAAGTGACTTACTCGCTATAAACAGTGCTCGTAATTCTCCAACCGTCTTAAGATTTTACTTAATCGTTTAGTATTTGCAAATAAATTGTAGGCTCCACATAGACTGACTCATAATCTGCAAGTATTATTACGATATTTGGAAAAATCCGGTTACGACGAATTCAACACTGATATTAACTCACCGTTTACATGCAATATAAAATCATTGTAAAGCATGATTAAAATACTGCTTACCCATATGCACCAAATCTCAATGGTTGCAGATGCTGTGTACAGAAATCCACTCTCAATCTCCATAAAAAGATAAGAAAATTCTGTATTAACTAATTACATAGTTCAGTTTCCTAGTTCAAAACAGGTATCCATCATTATACCTTTGGAGAATATGTGACTAATTAACGTGACACAATGATGGTATACAGGGTTTCTGAATGTGTTCATAAAACGGCCTTAAGTGTTATCATCGTAATTAATTACTCGAATCGTTTTTATCTCCCAGATTAATACCATAGGTAACTTATAACTAAGACAGTCTCATCAATAATGATCATCTTTAAAATGGCTGCGATTGCTTACGATTATATGCTAAAAACTTATACAATGCTTAGGAATAATTTGGCGAGAATTGTATCTACTAAATGACTACTAAACATCCATGTTCATCAACATCCTTTAGGGTGTTGCGTTATATGCAAAAGATTTTTTGAACTAATTTTAACCACAAAATAATACAATTTTCTATCTACGACTAAACAAACGGTGCATTTGACTTGATTCAGTCTAGATTGATACAAATAATCAAACGAAAGCCGACTTGACCTTCACTTAGGTAGTGAACAATGACTACGTCAAACTACAATACCACTGTTCTTTTGGAGTAGCGGGCGAATGGTACAACCACTACTCTTTATGAATAATCAAATTCTGAAATTTGCTTCCGGCTGGGTTGGTTCAAGAGACTTCTTAGGAGTCAGTTGAGAGGGAACTTTTCATATTCCTGAGGACTAAGGACAGTATCTTATTATGATTTACCGACACTTTTTTCTTTCTTCTCTTTTAATTATAATATCCCTAGTTTCCTACCTGGAGGCATCGGTGATCCACTGCTACTAAGTACGGAAGCACGTTAAGCGAAAGCTCCTTCTATTTCGTTCAGAACCATTCGAAACTACTACTGGAGGGAGAAGAACTGGTTAGGATAACTAATTTTTAATTGCGCAGTGGTTCGGAAAAATGTGAAAATAACACATTGAATACATCGTTGGCATGTCTTTAAACTGTGTTTTACAAACCTCATTGTTCATTCGTTCCTGTTGTTATCTTGACTGCTTCCAATTTTTTTCTCCATTCTCTTCATCCCAATCATTTCAACATTCTGCTCACAGGCATTCCACTACATATATCTTTGAACACAAGTGACATACACCACAACACGTACTGAGATAAAGGCTATAAATTAAGGGTAGACATTATGAAAATTGACGTGTGACGGTAAAAATGCTGTCTACAGATGAAAAATAGGATCGTCGTTGATACTCGACAGTATGTGGTATGTGAGTGGCAACCTATAGCCTAACTGTTGTGTGCTTTTATTTGTTGTTACGTAAGTCGATGTTCAAAATCTTATGATTGTACTTAAAGTCACTAAGAATCATGAACTTTGATTTACAAACATAATTGTTGTAATGCCGTTGTTCATACATGTCAACCACTGGCGGGTTCCGGATATTAGTTCGAAAATAGAACTGGATAATATATAAGAGAACATAAGCAGTGAAAGCGTGTTTCTCTCGTACCATGTTAATGATGTTGATGAGGAACGCTGTTTGTGTTAGAGTAGATTCAGTTATATAATTTGCAATTTTCTTCAGTGTATGTATTGCAGCTTCGTGATGACAATTGCTTCACCGAACCACCAAATGAAATGAACAGGTTATACATCGGAATTCGTTGTAAATAGCTTTTATAATGTTGATCAGTTGTTGGTGCCTCAAAAATAATCGCTGCTATTTCAAACGTTTCGATCCATTTACATCTTTATATGTTCTATATAACAATTATGCCAGGTCGAAATCTTACTATCAACCGCATTGTACGGCTGAGACTCGGGACTCAAAAATGGCCCGTCGCCTCTTAATAAACTTAGCGTTTAGTTTCACAGCTTTTTCTAGATGAAAAATGCAAATTAGAACATCGAAGTTAGGTAATTACTCCAGTTTTGATGCTCACAAGGATGTCAAAGCATAATATCTTCGTTGTTATGGATGACGATATTTGTGATGAATGTTCCGATAGCAGGATGCATGAAGAGAATATATAGACTGTGGTCAATTTCTTAGAAAAACCCAGAGACCGTTTGAAGGAACTGATGACACAAAGATTTGAAGACCCATACATAGTATATCAGATGGAATAGTATTACAGGATGAGCTCCAATCATTGGTGGGATGGGTGGACGTATGGTCACTAGAAGTGAATTCTAACAACAGTGTGGAGATGCAATTGAATAGCTATGATGATTCGTATCGCTATACAATACGTGAGTTCATGTTACCCACAGTAAAAAACTATAACGATTTAGGAGTCTTAGTAAGCAGTGATCTTAAAACTACCAGTCACTTTAAGGCTGTTGTTGTGAAAGGTTATAAGGTGTTATGGGCTATTCATTGGTCTTTTTAGTATTTTCATGAGGAGATGTTTAGATTATAATACCCGACTTTCGTGAGACTACATTTGGAATATGGGATTCAAACACCAGGTCTTTGTTTCAAGTATGAAGCATATATATTCTGAAAAGAGTCCAACGACAAGGTATTAGGATGGTAAAAGGTTTATCTGACCTATCTTATAAAGACAGACTGAGACACCTTAACTTATCTTACCGTAGAATACTACAGTGCAAAATAGTGCATGGAGGACAGCTGACTGAGGCATTCCAAGTAAGGACCGGAATAAGACAAGGCTGTCTACTCTCTCCCTTCCTCTTACTTCTGGTGGTCGACTGGATTATGAAGACCTCGACATCTGAGGGAAAACACGGCATACGATGGACAGCTCAGAACCAATTAGACGACTTGGACTTCGCAGATGACCTAGCCCTCCTATCACATACACACGAACAAATGCAGATAAAGACAGCCAGCATAGCAGCAGTCTCTGCATCAGTAGGCCTCAACATACACAAAGGGAAAACCAAGGTCCTCAAACACAACACGGAGAACAGCAATCCAATCACTCTTGATGGCGAAACTCTGGAAGACGTGGAATCCTTCACATACCTGGGAAGCATCGTCGATAAACAAGGAGGCTTCAGATGCAGACGTCAAGGCGAGGATTGGCAAAGCTAGAGCGGCATTCCTTCAACTGAAGAACATATGGAACTCAAAACAACTCTCAACCAATATCAAAGTCAGAATCTTCAATACGAACGTCAAGGCAGTTCTACTGTACGGAGCTGAAACTTGGAGAACTACAACAACCACCATCAAGAAGGTACAGGTATTTATCAATAGCTGTCTACGCATGATACTCAACATCCATTGGCCGGATACCATCAACAACAGCCTTTTGTGGGAGAGAACCAACCAGCTTCCAGCTGAAGAGGAAATTAGGAAAAGACGATGGAAATGGATAGGACATACATTGAGGAAATCATCAAACTGCATTACGAGACAAGCGCTAACTTGGAATCCTGAAGGGAAGCGGAAAAGAGGAAGGCCAAAGAACACATTACGTCGGGAAATAGAAGCGGATACAAAAAGGATGAATCACAACCGGAAAGAGCTGTTAAAGAGTACACAGGACAGGTTTGGATGGAGAATGCTGGTGAGCGGTGTAAGTAAGTACCGTAGAAAACAGGATGATCAAATATTGGCTTATCGTATACTGAACGATGACCTTAGTAGTAATATGTCTTATCCTTTCCTTCCGTCTGAGACTGATCATTTGGGAGGATATTCAAAGAAAGTTCAGAAACCGAGATCAAATCGCCTATGTCTGGAGTTTCTTATCTCATACCGAGTAGCGAATTACTGGAATTCTCTACCAGAACACCTGTTGATATATTCAAAACGAGATTGAACATCCACAGTTTTACAAACTGCAAGAATTAATATAGGTCGATAGACATCTTATTCTTATTACTGAAGACTGGGGAATGAAAACGAAATGCACTTGATATATGTGCTATTTCATCCCGCGCCACTTGACGTATTACGTTTCTTATCATTATGTAAGTTGTCTCCATTCATTCTGCATTGCTTTCTCCTGATGTAAACACAATGTACAAATCAGACATTTTTAACCGACCACCTTTCGAGGTTTAGGTTCAAACATCAGGAAATCAACCGTTTGTAAATCCGTTACCCATCTGGCTAAAGTGTACTTGGAAAGTACTCCCTTATTTTCACCCATTTAGATGCTTACTTATCTTCCTAGATTTCTTGATAACTGTTTTGGAGGTGAAAATACTGATAACCACCCAGATATTTATAGATTAACTTATGGCATCTCAAGCTTGTCATAGGGAACTGTAATTCCGGGAATTACAGTTGAGGAATTGGCCATTCCCTTAATTTAGATTAATTAGTCCTCGATTTTAAGATGCAGTAAGTATTAGTGTACATCGTCAATTCACTAGGGCATAGGTAACCTTCGCGGAGTCTTTTTGTCCTAGCAGTGGTTACTTCTCATCGCTATTCGGTAGACAGGTGATGAAATATGTTTGGCAAAATGTAGTCTTTTTTTGACTCTTCATTTTTCGGCTACAGACCAACTTGTTTTCGATCATTTGAATCATCATGCCATTTGCATGAATCACCCAAAATTCTTTGTTGGATTACCACTGGTTTCTATTTTGACTTGTGTCTTATGATATCATAAACTACTGAGCTGTACAATCCCTAACATAGTTTGTAAGATCTTGATGAAGCAGGATGGTTCGGTCGTGGAGCTGTCGTCGTAATTCTGAACGACATCATCAGCGCAAACTCCAGGTATAAGCAAAATAAAGAACAACGGTAAAAGCTACACGACCAAGCCATCCAGCTCAGAGAATAAAACTATCAAAATCATCCACCCGAGCTACAAATCTTCTGTACCACCTTTTCCAAGAGATTGTAATAAATCAATAAACACTGTCTCAACAGCTGTTCTTAGGTCAAACCATATGTGACAAATTATAAATAGAAAACTAGTAGTGTTAAATATGGAATTAATTCCTTAAATGATTTATCGTTATTTCTACTGTCAGCAACACTAACCCATTCTTAAGCTTATAAATTTTTATTCGTAACATTGAATTAGATTTTACCCTTTAATGGAAACTCGTAGTTTCTTCAAATATTTAAAATCCAGTGAACTACTCGTCTAACCAAGCCATTCTTGAATTAGACTATTTTGAACACTGAGTTAAAGTCATATAACACTCAATTAACACTAATAAATTATTGTTGCGCTTTACAGAGACTATTTCAACATACCCATTTGTCGTGGTTACTAATTCATGGGCCGAAAAGGTGTTCGTAATGCTCGCTATAAAGTTAAAAATCGTACAAGGGATATCGACCAGGTAACATTATTTGATTTGATTTTGGGAATTCGTACCAGATTAGACTTTTGTGAATGTTAGGTGTCAAGTGCATAGATTCCTAAATATATTTATTTGGAATAGAATTTTGCCATAAATAACACATAGCAAGACCTGTCACTTTTAAGACAGCAATTCCTGCTTCCAGCTAGTTATCAGCTTAGATCCTTGCTGTTCTGGGAAGCCAATTATAATGTATTTTTGCATCGTCAGTCATATAATCAACTAGCGTTTTGTAGATAGTATAATACAAATCCGATATTACCTCTCTTAGTATAAAAATAGCAACTTTGGCGTAGTGGTTATAATGCTAAACCCAATGATCAACTATCGATTCATGTGTTAAAACTAAAATCACATATTGCACGAATGCTGTGCAGATTAACTTAGATGAAGTGAAATCTAAACTTACTACCCAATGTTTAAAACCCAAATGCTTAAACTCTTGAGCAACCGCTCTAAAGCGTGTAATATCTTAGGTGTTTTGGGATATTAGTATTTGTTTTGACTATACAATCTATGGCTAATAATGGTTAACTCAAGGCACAGTCACTTATAATCCTATAGTACAACTTTCCAGTCAGACAGTACTAATTTGCTAGTTAATGGAAATATAGTTGACAAAGTTATTGATATCCATAAAATAGAGTGTACAAGTCTTTTCTGCATACATCTCCGATTCATCTTTAGAATATAGTATCAGGAAAGTTGCTGGATTTGCTACTAAATAAAATTTGTTTTAGAGTTTAGCCTTCTAGTAAATAGCCATAAAGAAACTCACCGAACTAATCCAATCTGTGACATTATTTATGAAACTAAATGAAAGTGTGCACAGATGTTTGTTAGCTATCAGTTAGTAAGATTGAATGTATGTGGTTTTACGTGCTGATCTAGATTTTTTAGATGAAGTAACTGCGGTGAAGTTCAAATCTGTGGTCCAACGGTTTAAGTGGAGTAATAACATTACCCTTTCAATTCATTATTTGCAATTAACTCATGATTTATAATGCCGTCCTAATAATGGGCGCCTGTTTTATCGTTTTAGATATCTAGTGACCTCAAAGAGGAAAATTTTGCTAAACGAGTTAGTGAAGCTACAGAACTAGACGAAGATAAGCCTGGTCTTGGTCAATTCTTTTGTATCTTTTGTGACAAGTATTTTATTGATCAGATCACTCTTGATCTTCACAAAAAGCAGAAACCTCATAAACGAAGGTTAAAGTCTCTGGATGAACCTCCACATACACAAGTGAGTTCAGTAATTCGTCTAATTATATGCAACAGCTTTATTTTCCACTTTTCACCCCATTATTTGTATATATTTTTTATTGGTCGCTAATCAACATTATGAACAATATCACAAAAGGAGCACACTTCGTGTGGAATTAATTCTTTAATAGCAATTAATCCACCATATTTCAGTGATGAACAAATGTTATTCCCTAATATAAACTGATGGTTCATTAAGAATGTTCCTGTGTTGTGCATTTTATACATAAACCTGACCAGTCTTGTCAAATCACTCAAGGTAGATCAAAACTGTAAACCAAGGTTTTCACATCGCTGTCACAATAATATAATGGTTACTGTATATGACAGCCTTTATACTGTGCATGCCTCATACTTGCTCAATGTTCATACGACAATCATTTGACAATGATTTATATGTGTAAATTCTATTTTGTAAAGCCGCGGAATCATGTTAAACAATGACAGAAAGTAATGGATTCATCATACCGTCTCTATCAACACAGGTCCACCCATAACTTCGATGGTTTTTTGCCGTTCATATATATGACTTTCAACTTTAAAAAAAATCGACTTCATGGGGCCAACTGATTCAGCCTCCCAAAAACAAGTTATACATACAGAACTAGTGTATAGGGCAGATTTCAACATAAATTGTCTAAAGACATAAATAAAAGGCTTTCCCACTAGAAATCCAATTCATTCCAATGTGGCATCACTTAGCTTAGACTTCCATTGTTACTGATCTATGAATATTTTGAGGTGTAATGAGCTTGACATTGGTTGTCGTCATGAAGATTTTCAAAAACCTAGTTATTTTAGATAATTTGCGTTTTAACTGTTATATCTATATTTATTTTATCAAGCTAACTTAAACAGGCATCATAGATTTTAAAACAGTAGTTTTTACATAATAAACCACTTTCATTAACATATTTATATAATCATTTTGGCAATTATCAGAAGGATATTAGTGTTCAACCGCACATCTGCTACAAAATATAAGCATTATTAGTATATTAAATAAAGTTTCAGATATCCGGTAGCGCTTTTACTAACAGATTACTAATTACAGGGTTGTAAATGAAGCTTTAAGTAACACAAACGGACCGTTTCATGAAGTTGTAAACGTTAACTGTGATGTTTAAAATTTCAGTCTTCGGTGACAATATATGTATGTATTGTTTAACGTCATAGTGTGAAAAGCAGAAGTTGACTCGTACCGACGCACTTACACCAATCCACTTTCTCTACCCCTACTTTTTATCCACACGTTATTCTCCAAGCTTCTTTTAAGTAAAATGACTCGCACAGATATTTATAGAGTTCTGCACTAGTCAGTCAGGTCAACTGTGTAAAAAATTCCAAACATCACAAAGATGGGTTTGGATATGGTTTTACTTTTAGGATATATTATTTATTAATAACAAAAATAAATATATTCACACGTAGTATTATTAATTTAAAGCATTAGTTTAACTATTTTTCAAGTATATGGGGTTGTACCGATTTTTGAATTCCCTTGTTTTGCATCACGAAACAATTTTAGTTAGACAAAACTTAAAAACTAGGTACCACTAAACAGCCGATTTGTCTTAGCGTAGGACTTCTCAACAGAGCACACCTATGATACAAGGAATATTACTTACGGCAATGGATGAGGGTCGCGCGACCTAGATAATCGGCTAGGGTTAGGAGTGTAAACGGTTAAACGCTCTCTGTGAGGCCTGGAGGTCTTGGGTTCGGTTGCCGGTGGGGCTGTTAGTTTATACTTCCAAGATGTCACCATAATACGACGAAAGAGCCGTTTTATTTCTTTCTGATTCTCAATGGTTTTCTATGATCAGTCGGTAATGTTTGGTGTTTCTAATTTCTTAACATACGTTGGTTGGCCTCAATCAAAGCCATCCAAAGCATTTATTCCAACTTATTTTTTAATCCCAGACCGGTGAATGCTAAATTTCTCCTGAACCGATATTTATTTCATATACTATATCATAAAACAGCCTCACAAACAAAATTTATTGTTCATATAATGATCCCTTTCATAAATAAATATTGACATGCTTTTTGGTCCCATTTTTTCATTCACAGGAAGATGCAGACTTTGCTGCTGGAATTCTAAAGGATGATTATAAAATATCTTCTAAAAAGCTATGTATATCACCTGATCTGTGTCAACAGAGCGTTCAATTAATACCATCCGTTTCATATACTTATGTGGAATAAAAATTCACATTTTCCAGTCATGATTTCCACACTGTACAGTATCTTGATTTTATTGTAATTTTTCTTGTACAGTTGTTCAATTTTGAAATACAGAAATGGAAGTTTGAGCTTTAGTATTGTGATAAGCGATGCTATGTAGATAACTTTTTGACTTGTCTTGATCACCTGTAGCTACCGTTTATAAGTGTTTATTATATATAAAATGTGCAAGGAGTTTGCTACGTAATCTGAGTCGAATGTTTATGCCTCAAAGTCGATCAATGTGGAGGTCAACTTTCTCTCTTTGCTTTGCTGAATTCTGTTTGCATCAAATAAAAGAAATATGTTCTACGTACCGTTGAGATACTAACATTCTCAGACATGTATGCTATAAGTGGTTACAGTTGCCAAACCGTTTGAATAAATCCCCTACTAGTTAACTATGAAATAGAATTTATATGGTGTTTATTTGCATTACTTTCAAATAAAATAATCCATAACAATTAATTATCAATAAAAGTTAAAGGCTGTTGAATTCTCCCAGATATTCTCATGTTAACTAAGTATGTATCGGTAATTCAAGGCATCACTGAAACTCAACTGCTTCATTATGTTCCTGAAAACGATCATGACATTACATTGGAACGATTATGCTACTTACAAGTAGTTCAACAATACTTATCAATATTGTGTTAGTATCATAAGAAATAATATTTAATCACTTGCCCAGTAAAGCACAGTTAAGCATGATTATTGATACGCAGTTAAAAAATGAGCTGTCTGAATTGTTGCTGACAAAAGAACATATGAAGAGTAAATTTTTGACCCACTCTAACCTTATCAACGAAATAGGTGCTGTGTTCAAACGGCAAAGTTTAAACTACTTACACCTATTTTTATTCACACGATCATAGATAGACAAATCTAAAATGAACGCATGCTAGCCAACCAAACTATAAATATACTAATGTTTCTTATTGTGCTTCTTACTTCCATTTACCATTGTTATTTGAAATATAATTTCGTTCCTGTTCAACCGTATTCTGATTTGGGGACTTGTCGAATGAATTGGTGTCCAAGAATACTATGCAATAGAAATAGCGGGGTTTTAATAAGAGGAATTATAAAAGCACCAATATTAATAATGATTACCAACTTTTTGTAGAATCTATATTTATTCCCTCAATTTGTCTACTAAATCGAAATTAAGGTCACATGCATTGTAACATCCATACATACAATTTCAGAAGTAAGTTAACCTGAAATAACTGGGGAATCTTTCCAGGTGAATGAAAAAATAAGACCAACTAAAAGACAATAGAAAGTAAATATTAAATAAGATAACGCCTAAGAATACAGAAAGAAACAATGTGTGTACCCCATTTGGCTACTATTTGTATCATGCAAAAACGAAATCAAATAAAGTACTAACAATACAATTCAGATAACGTGAATCCATTCATTCATATAAGAGATTAGAATTCAAAATTTTATATATTATTGTTGATGAGACTGGTTACTGTATGAATAAATGGTAAACTTCAATTCAACTGCTTAAGAAAAGTGATACAACAGCAAGTAGCATTAGAGTCTCATTATATATCTATCTTTATGAATAGCTATCACTTTCGAATTCACATAAAATTTACTAATATAATGTTAAGGAGAAAACATGAAATAGTTATAGTACTATAAATTATATGGTAAACTGGCATACAAAGTTTGAAATTATAAACCGCTTTTGAGGTATGTAGGTGACTTTGAAGTGAACGCTATGTTTGATCCACCTAGATCGATCACTAGAGAAGATTCACCAGTCATAATCTTGATAGTTCTCTACTCCTAAGTCTTATACAATTACACACTTCCATTGATAACGATTAACCTTAAGCAGTCACCGGTTATTCTAAACGTCAATTGACCCGGATCTACGTTCTATTTCTATTCTAATACTGAGTTCAACAAAACAATGTAGCAGCAACCAAACTTCAAGTACTTAAATTATGTACATGAAATACCGAACCCACAAACAGGAAGCCGTAATGTATGCATAATCAAATCAGAAGTGATATAAAATTGAAAAAAAGTGAATAATTGCTAAGCGATAATTAAAGAATAGTGAAATGTATGGCAATAGTTAATGAGTTTAGTGGAAAAACAATAGTCTAGTTGACTAATAAATCAATAATCAGTAAAATGGTTACGAAAGTTGTCGCTTTCTTCATATTTCTTTAATCATTAAAAGTTATTTGCCAAGCTGCTACCATATAACAAATTAAAGCTCACTCAATGTGTTTGAATCTCTTAATTATTCAGCTTGCTTTAAAGTCTATATCTAACATAAACTAACTAATCGAGAAAAGAAATAAACAATGATTTTTAAAAAATTGAGTTGTTTAAATTTTATAATATATCCCAAGTTAAATGTTTACACAAGCCGGCTTACAAGCAATTTATAAGTTTGTTTAAATAATAATATATCTTAGGAATTTCGTAAAAGAAAGCAAAACCTGTCAAAATGTCAGATCTGTTAAGTATTTGTAAATACCTACAAACTAACTGATTAATCTGATAGAAGTGAAATGATTATAAACTCAGACAGAACTTAATCAACGGTTAATATTTCAAAGTATCGACCAACCAATTATATTATAGTGAAGTTCTAGGCAAGTACCTATTTGTCACTGAAATAAATAATTATCATAGTATTTCTTAGTGTGTTCAAATAATGTAAGTTATCTTTTTTTTAAACGTGTATATTTGAATATGTTACTAGTTGGCAGAAATTTTGATGTTAAAAATGTCCAAGATCTTTAAATTTAGAATAGATTACGTACATATAGTTCATTAGTTGAAAGGTATATAAATTAAGTAATAGTCCATAACACAATAACTAAGAAAGTAAATTGCACAGATGAATAAATTATTTACGTAACATATACACACAAAATATATCCAAAAATAAAAAAACTGAAAAATTATCAATGAGTTAGAAAAGGTAAGTGTACATTTAAGATAAAAAGCATTAAACAGAATCTCCAACACCGATATATATATGTGTGTGCTTTTTTGTACACATATAATGATTGTGAGTACAATATGAAGAGCAACAATACGAGACTAAAAGATATATACCTATCTACATAGTGCATATTTTCAGATGATATTTAAATAAATTATAATTATTCTCTTTATGGTGAATCGACGAGGCTAATTCAATAATCTATTGATAATAATGAATTATATCTGTATTTGTTACAAATGAAACTAATAAGCAGTAAAAAATCAAATTGACTAGACAGAAATTATTGCAATAAATTGACTTTTAGTTTATTTTTTATCCTTCATCCCTTCCGTGAAAGAAGGTTATCTTGTTTATTTAGAACAGATTCATTGAGTATCTTGCACAATTCAGTAGACAGATGCATTTTATGGATAAGTTGTTCCCATGATGGATGCCTAATAGAGTTGGCGAAAAAAATTTTTTTAATAATAATCAGTTAGATATAAATTGACAAAAACACTTAAAATAAAATGTACTACTACGGATAAGAGAAAAGATATAAGCAACCTACGGTTAAATACATATTTATGCTAGAGATGATAAATTATAACTATTCTTTATTAATTTATTAAGAAGACTGTATGTTATCTAGTTTTTGTTAATAATTGTTAGTTGCTTTCTGTAACGAGAATACTTTTTCTAATTCCTATTTTTATACTGACCATTGTGTTAAGGACAATTTTCGAAATGTTGTGTCATCCACTCGATCCATTTCGTTCACATTGGATCCCGTTCACACCAGAGAGGATCTCAATCGTTCGTAATTAAAACTTATTGCAGACCAATAACCCAAACATTATCATAACCACAGCTTTATTTTTACCAATCTTTTAATGATTCCGTTTACTTTCTTCATGTAGCTTTAGTAAAATATTGCAACTGGAAGGTAAATTCAAATATATTTTGTTATATTCCGAAATTTTATCTGTAATTCAATAAAAGTGAGAAAAAGTAAGCAACAAGATATGTAAGCGGTTTAATTATAATTGTTTAGTAGCAAACACTGTAGTAAGTAGGTTGGAATTTCACTCTACCGATCAAGAAATAATTAAATAATATTTATTTGAAGATTGTCTAAATTAATTATTCTGTGACATATGATAATGTAGTGAACAAGAACACGAGTGAGAACAACCGAATGTATTTTAACACGAAATTACAGAATATCTCACTAAAATCTGAGAACCATACATAAATACTTAATTTGCAAAATATCAATCCAGTGTCTCAAACTTGACCGTTTCTTTTGCAAATATCAGTCCATCGTCTCAGATTTCATTGTTCCTGCATTTTTACACAAATTGCTTTCCGTTCCCGTTCTTCCCTCTCGATCGAAATACATTATATTCCTGACTATCGTTATATACTACTTAGGTGGATATAAGTAGCTCACACCACAACAACTTCAATGTCAACCTTTGAGTTGAAGATTAGCACCAATTATTACAATCAAGAGGTTTTTATCACCAAGGTAAATCAATTGAGAAATATTCGAGAATTCTACAGACAAACATACATATAAATTGTTCAAACTCAATTAAATTAAATTCTATTCACTTACATTACTAAATTCACAGATAATGGACGAGGTAAATACATGATGACACTTTCTAATGTATATAATGTAAGAGAACTTCTTTGAATTACAGGTATTTCATCAAATGGAATTAATGTGGACTTTTCGCGATTACACAAACCAATTGATTGTATATGATTGTCACTTTCATAGGTACAGACTATAAATTGGCTGATGAATTTTAATGTAACTGTATTCAAGGTACATAACCAACTCCATAAACTTGATAATTCTTTTTTTGCACCAACCATAATCTTTAAAACAAAATAGAAATACGAGTAATTATTTATACATAAAAAACAAGGAAGTAGCTAAGATTAGATTCATGCAAAATCATACACAAACGATGAATTAGTTTAAGATAAGGTCATATGCTAACGATATCGTAAATATGACCTCTAATAGGATAGGTTTATACTGCTATTAACGATAATCAATAGCGATGGGTTTGAAGTATGCCATCAGTCGTAATTAGTCTTATTAACTGTATAGTTAGGCAAAATTGAATGATAGGATATCTGACCAAACACCTACTTACTTACTCCTCACGGAGGAGCATATACAGCTCACCAGCATTCTCCATCCAACCCTGTCCTGGTCAGTCTTTTCCAGTTGCTATTCATCTTTTTAATGTCTGCCTCCAGTTCTCGACACACTGTGTTCTTTGGCTTTCCCCTTTTTCGTTTCGCTTCAGTATTCCAAGTTAGCACTCGCCTCATGATGCAGTTCGGAGATTTCTGCAATATATTTCCTATCCACTTCTAGCGTCTTTTCCTCATTTCCCCTTCAGATAGCAGCTGATTTGATCTCTCCCACAGTATACTGTTGATGATGGTATCCAGCCAACCGACATTGAGTATCTTGCGTAGACAGTTGTTTTTGAAATACTTGTACCACTTTGATGACGGTTGTAGTTTCAACTCCGTATAGTTGAACTTTCTTGACGTTCGAATTGAAAATTCTCACTTTGATATTGGTTGATTTGTTTTGAGTTCTTCAACTGTAGAAATGAGTTTTTGCTTTACCAATCCTCGTCTTTACGTCCGCATCAGATCCTCCACGTTCATAGATGATGCTACCCAGATTCGTGAGATTTTTCACCTCTTCCAGAGCACTCACACCAAGTGTGATTGGGTTGGTGTTCCCTGTGTTGTGTTTGAGGGTCTTGGTTTTTCCTTTGTGTACATTGATGCCTACTGATGCAGAGACTGCCGCTACACTAGTTATCTTCATCTGTATTCATTTATGTCTACGGAATGGAAGGATTGCTTCAAACCAGAAGCCTCTCTCCAATATATTATATTATTTACTGATGACCCTAATTTTAATGCGCATAGTGAATGTTAATGTTTAAAATAGTTAACGCATACATTATTATTATTATTACTGATCATTTAAAGTAAACATGATTATGAGTAACCAACCAATAACATTATATAATATTGAAATGACTTGATTTATTTCACCTCACGATTTCATCACTTAACCAAAATACAAAGTACAAATGAACTAAAGGGGTGTATATTGAACTTTGACCAATTAGTTTTGGTGGCTATCAGTGACGGGTTCTGGAGATTATTAAGCATTACTGAAATCACGAACCAATCTAAGTTACGAACATCAGCGAAAACCTGAGAGTACTAGACGGGCGTTTCGTCCTAGTATGAGGACTGCTCAGCATTGCGCATTCACTACCCTGCATACGAGAATCGGAACTTGGACCTTAAATTTCGCACTTGAACGCTTAACCTCTAAACCATTGACTATTCCGAAACTGTAAGCGTTACTGTTAAATAATAAAGGTCATAAATAAAATTAGAAAGGTCACTTACCAAAGACCAGAAAAATTCGTTATAATATCTCAAGTTATGATCACAGTAGTAAAAAAATAGATCGTGTGAATGAAATCAATACAAGAATTCGTTTCGTGAATGGAAACAATAATAATAATAACTTCATGTGAATAGAGTATGTAATAAGAGAGGTGCTGTCTAAGTAATTATGATAAGAAATCCATGCGAATTGAGAAAGATAGATGTATAGATTACGAAAGATATTAATACAAGAGGAATTGAGGGGAGTAAGGGATTCATTATATCCAGTTTATGTATATCGTGATCTAGTCGTGCACCAAGGTAAACACAAAGGCCAAACATACTTCTTTTGGATACATAAGTTATGTTTCCTGGAGTTCATGAGTACGCAAGTATAAAAACCCTCTGAATACGGCCTATGTGACCAGAACCAAAGGAGCAATTAACTTAATAAACACGCATAGAGGAGTCCATCATCAGTAACCTATCATTGATTTGTTGTGTAAGTACTGGTTTAATTGAGAAGATCACATGCAAATTCACGGTGTGAACTGTCCTTTCAACGGATCTTTTGAGTCAATGTGTTAAAATGTCACTTGCTTTGTCCCTTTATAAAGTCGAGTTTTAAGTAAAAGGTCGTCTTGCTAATCATGTTGGAATTTGTTTTTTTTTGTCCGTTGTGATAGATACATTTGACAAAATTATCTGAATAGCCGTTACTTCGTAATGTATTCTTTAGTCTACCTTTTTCACCATCTACACTGTCCTAAGAATATAATAGTTTGATTGGCTGAGAAATTTAACCAGATTTATTTTGTACTGAAGAGATATAAGCTATAAAAGTGGATATCGTAATCAGTCCATATATTCTTTCAAAATAAATTTCTTTTTATGGAACCGTCTAGCCTTCTAGAAGATTGATCACAGTTGAGATACAACCAAAATCTAGGGAGCAATAAACATCGGTTTCGTCCTAGCATCGAACTCTTTGGAAGTGAACAACTAGAAACCACCAGAAATCGAACTCAAGGCATTCCGGTTTTGTGGTGAACGCCTTCCAATAGTAATTTCACCTTCAATTAATTTGCGATCAACCCCATGAATGGCAACTGTTTCACAATCCAAACGCTACTAGTCACGAATTCTCACTAGAACATTAGGGACTATTATAGTTTAGTAGAACCTTTTGTAGAGGTTTATTTAATTTGTTGGTTATACTTGTCATGTACAGACATTATATAAAAACCTATTAATACAAACTGTTTACTCAAAACAAGAGTAAATACACAAAAATTCAAACTCTGGATTTCACAGTTAAGTACTACCACGAAAATAACTGAGCTACTTAGCTAAACAAAAAAAAAATGCAGGGCAATTATTTCACTGTAACGGAAACTGAATTTCATTTTAAGAATAAAAATACACTACCACTTACTGTCGGTTTATTTAATAAAACATCAATCATTGCATCCGAATATGAACAATAATTATCAAGATAATAAAATGCTATCCGATATCTATCTTTCCATTGATTAAAAACATTTATATTCTCATTTGAATTCAATGAAATTAATTCAATAGAAGGCTTTAAATAACAACAAGATGTACTAGATATCAGTGACTGATTTGACCAGTATGATAATAGATTCGGATCATGTGTAGTTATAAAAGGAAGCATTGAATTAATCAATTGATTGATATTATTAATTAAATGATTTTGTTGAGTTAATGATAAATATGATAATTTATTATACACATCTTTTAATAATATAGTGTACTGAAATGTAAACAAGAAAAATAATAATTAATTGAAATCAGGATCGTAATTTCTTCTCATTGAAGTTAAAGTGAGTTTTTAAAGCACTGGAAATAACTATAACAAGCAACAGCGACAATAAAAAACAACGTTACTTTTACTCCATTTAAGAAAAATCATTTACATCAAGTAATACCTATATAACCTTTGTGTATAGAAGGAAAGAGGTTTTTAAAGTAGCTACGACATGGCAAGAATGATTGTGTCACATACTTTCATTCATTATACAAATATATATTTCATCTAACACGTTCAATTTACTAAAATTATGTTGCGTAATTGCGTGATTTCAATTTTCCCACTAAGTCAATTTTAATCAAAATAAAGTCTGGTAGAAATGGGCATCTGTTACAGTTACCATACCAGGATGAAAATAACTTACTCAAATTGATAGCAAAATAGTCACGATAATGTTAGTGTGAGTGATAATGAGAGGGTTTGGAAAAGAAATTACGCATGAAGGAATACTGAAACACAAGATCTAGGTGTAAAACAGAGAAAAAATTCATCTGCTCAATAGCGACCAATTCTCAGTCATGTTAGCCAACGTCTCAAACTACTGATCGGGATTTTCAGGCTGATACCAATTAGGTAGTCTGCACTTATCAACAAGCTTTGATCTGAAAGTCAATAACATCATGATCTGATGGCACGTCTCAGATTGGTTGCTCCTGACTTTCTTACAACCTATTCATACTTCAGGTAACATTGACTGCAAATCTTGTATAATCCACAGTACATCTAGACAAATGAGTTTAAATATTTCGGTACACATTTCAAACTGCAGTTAATTAGCAAATTAGTGAGAACATTATTCACGTTTCTATCATGAATTCATTAAGGTCTGAAACGTGCTCTGAAATGAACTTCTGTCGAAATATATCGTAATCGCCAAGAAATCACAATCAGTAAAGTTTAATCTATGGTAGTAAGTTCTCAGTGTTACAGTGTACTAATCATGAATGACAAACAGAATAACTGGGTTTCATAATTTTTAACAGCTCACCAAATCAAAATTTACAAACACAGATTTAAAATATTATAGTTATGTTACTAGCCACCGATGCTCTAAACTTCTACAATACTTTTTTCATATAGTTTAGTCTTGTTCACTATGTCAATTTTAAACTGCTGAAAGAAGCTACTGTTCAATACAACTTCAATGATAGAGATAACCAAAAGTCTGAGATCGGCATTTTCCAATTATTATTACTATTATTAATGCTGTTACTATTATTATTAGCTTTATTCAACATTATATTTTTGGTACAATATATAATTCTCAGCATAAAGTATTTCAACAAGTTTCCATTCCTTACTTCTTGCTGGATCCTGACGATAAATATTGAGTGATCGCCAGTTAGAAGTTAGCAGTCTAGTTAATTGACATCTAAACACTACATTCTTTTCTCTGCATATTGCCAGCAACCACGATATCTGTGATTGGGCCTTTTGTAACTTGTACAATGAAAAATTGTACACTTTTCAGAAATGCATCTGAATCGGCTATAAAATTAATAGCCGTAATGATGTATCAAAACAAACAAAATTAGATAACTTGTTGAAAAATCTAGATGGCATGAACAGGTAGCCCAGATTTTCAAGTAGGCCGGTACTAATTCGTCTTAAGTAAAAAAAATTCATGGTATTATTCTAAAGAGGTTTGAAAAAGATAGGTCATTACTATGAACACAATGTGAATATGTTTCATGATGAAGGTTATTCGTATATTGAACCCGCTATGATCATCATCCATATCTGAAGCCCATCAACCCCCTGGTTTATGGATTAACAATAGAAACAACAGTTAATTAGACGAAATATATCAATACCACAAACTATTTCTGTATAAGCAACAAAATGATCAATTTGGTTCGACAATAAGAATAAGATATAAGAAAACTTTTGAGTGATTGGTGCATGTATTGACATTGGTTCTGAGTCTTGATTATGCAACGTATGGAACAATAACTTAATATCTAAAGACATTGTCTTTTATAGAACTTCACTAACTGCCTTCAGTTTGACTGCTTAAGTAGTATCACTAGCCGGAACATAGAAAATATGGATAAAATCTGAGTGCTTAAACCTTTATTTGTCAGATGATTTACACGTTTTTTCTGAATAAAAGACAACTTAATCCGGAAGTTAAGCATTTTTCAAATTTGCCATTACAAGTAAAACAAACCTGGTGAATTATTGAAGCTAGTATAACTGGAATGTGATTGTCATTATTGTTATTATCTTTATTGTCAATAATATGTTTATCGTTCTTATGTAAAGTCAAGTAAGCATTTTTCACTAGAGGTTCATATGTGCTGAAATCAACATTACTGTCATTCAATGAATTCATACGAATATAATCAATAAACCAATCAGATAAATCAGATGACGTGTTATTCACTTTTGTAATAGATTCAATAAAATAATTCATATCTATGTGTAATATGAATAGATTATCAATCCACACAGCACGTTTATTATGAAATAACGAATTATGAGATGGTGATGATGTTTTAGATAATGTTGACTTGTCTGATTGAAAGTACGATTCACGTGAAAACAAATAAATTAAATCCTTCGTCAAACGTTCATTTTCATCTTGGGATAAAATTGATTCGGCCATTACATCAATAATTTCTTCATATATAAAACTGTTAGCCACTGAACAAGATTGTCTTGGTATATGAATTGTTGACTGAAAAAAATGAACGGACCACGTCATATAATACTTAATAGGGTATTTTTCATACCGAACTAAATCTAAACTCACTAAGTGATAAAAATTAGTTGTTAGAAGCTAATTTGCATAATGGTTTGATAACAGAAAGATAAAGAGTGGAAACCTAAAAACTAAATATTTACTCTATTAAGTATGAAATCAAACACATAACTTTCTGGTATCAAGGTGGGTCCAAAACCATACGAAAACTGAATATACATTCAAGCGATTACATTTTATAACTTGATACATTTCGAGACGGCGCTACTACCACTCAGTTTTATAAACGCTGTAATTGTAATTGACTTTAAAAGTCACGACTTCCTACTTAACATTTGAGAGACTTATCACGTGGAAAGTCACTAACTAACGCTGGTCTTATCATGAAGACTAAAAGTTGTAGGTGCATTTCTAAGGGGTTACAAAGTGTACTATTCGCGATACTTCAAGTTTCAAATAATATATTATTGTAAAAGAACATATTATCATCACCAATTGACAGCACCACTTGTAACACGAAACATATAGGGTTACAGTGAGAAATCTGTAATTCAATATCTAAGTACCGATTCGTACAAGTAACAAGGAGATAAATTTAATAGTTGAAAAGTCTGACATTGTTTTGTTTATTCCAAAATAAAAATTAATAGTATAGATGTGATCGCCAATTTGAAATCTAGCTAAACTAAATGTATGTATAGTTACATTTAAAGGAGATAATGATTGAAATTTGAATTCATGAATGACAAACTTCATTTAAGGATAATAACACCATAGGTTATACTCATATAGCGATCATTTATGAGTGTAGAATATTTCGCAATAAATTTCTATAGAACTGAATTAATGTAGGATTGATCGATTACTGAGTAGTGTCCAACGTTGTGTTTATTTACCAATTAGTACTGATCGAACTCCGCCTGGAGTCCCTTTCGGGGGGCTACTGCCGGTCCCAAGCCCGGGTAAAGGAGGAGGGTTGGGCATGGGGTTAGCGTCCCCATCCCGTAGAAAACTAACTCACTAAAAAAACGCTAACCAGAAAAAATAACTCAAACCATTTAAACTCTGCCCTGGGAGTTAGAGGTAATATGACGCTTCATGGTGAAAGCCGAGTTCCTTCGGAAGTCACGAGGCCGATGCCCCTTCTAACAACCAGAGCAACAATTTTTATAGGTACATGGAACGTCCGGACAATGTGGGAGACCGGGAAGACCAGTCCAAAATAGCAACGGAAATGAGGAGATACAACGTGGCAGTGCTGGGAATCAGTGAAACCCATTGGACCCAAGCTGGACAACAAAGGCTAAATACGGGAGAGATGCTGCTATACTCCGGTCACAAAGAGGAAAATGCTCCACACACTCAGGGAGATGCTCTAATGCTGTCCAAAGTAGCACAAAATGCACTTGTAGGATGGGAATCTCACGGATCCAGAATCATTAAAGCATCATTCAAAACAAAGAAGGAGGGGATCACAATGAACATTATCCAATGTTATGCACCCACCAATGATAGCAACGACGACGTTAAAGATCAATTCTATGAGAGGCTGCAATCAATCATAGAGAAGTGCCCAAGAAAGGACCTCACCATTCTGATGGGAGATCTAAACGCCAAAGTCGGAATGGACAACACCGGATATGAAGACATCATGGGACTACATGGACTGGGAGAGAGAAACGAAAACGGGGAAAGATTTGCAAATCTGTGTACATTCAATAAATTGGTCATAGGCGGTACAATATTTCCACACAAACGTATACACAAAGCTACATGGATCTCACCGGACCACACCACAGAGAACCAGATAGATCATATTTACATCAATAAAAAGTTCCGAAGGACAATGGAAGATGTAAAAACCAGGAGAGGAGCGGATATAGCTTCAGATCACCACCTGGTTGTAGCCAAATTGAAACTGAAGCTAAAGAAGAACTGGACAACTGGACAAACAGCACCACAAAGGTTCAATACAGCCTTCCTTCGAGATACTGACAAACTCAATGAATTCAAGGTAGCTTTCAACAACAGGTTCCAAGCCTTACAGGACCTACTGAAGGAAGAAGAAACTACTATGGAGGATAGCTGGAAAGGCATCAAAGAAACATTAACTTCAACGTGTGATGAGGTTTTGGGCCCCAAGAAGCATCATCACAAGGAATGGATCTCTATAGAAACACTGGACAGGATCAAAGAAAGAAAGAACAAGAAGACAGCAATTAACAACAGTCGAACACGAGCAGAGAAAGTCCAAGCACAAGCAGAGTACATAGAAGCAAACAAGAAAGTGAAGAAGAGCATTAGAGCTGACAAGCAAAAATACGTGGAAGAACTAGCAACGGCGGCGGAAAAAGCTGCAAGAGAAGGAAATATGAGACAGCTTTACGATACGACGAAGAAGCTAGCAGAGAAATACAGTAAACCAGAGAGACCAGTCAAAGACAAAGAAGGAAGATCAATCACTGAGATTCAACAACAGCGGAACAGATGGGCAGAGTACTTCGAGGAACTCCTGAACAGACCGGCTCCAATGAATCCACCGGACATCGAAGCAGCACACACAGATCTTCCTATAAATGTCAATCCACCAACGACAGAAGAAATCAGAATGGCCGTCAGACAAATCAAGAGCGGGAAAGCAGCAGGAACCGACAATATACCAGCTGAAGCGTTGAAGTCAGACATCGAAGTAACTACAAGCATGCTTCATCTTCTATTCAAGAAGATATGGGAGGAGGAACAAGTGCCGATGGATTGGAAAGAAGGACACCTCATCAAGATTCCAAAGAAAGGAGATTTGAGCAAGTGTGAAAACTACAGAGGCATTACACTACTGTCAATACCGGGTAAAGTCTTCAACAGAGTGTTACTGAACAGGATGAAAGACGCAGTTGACGCTCAACTTCGAGATCAACAAGCTGGATTCTGTAAGGATCGGTCGTGCACAGACCAGATTGCGACACTACGGATCATCGTCGAACAATCAATTGAGTGGAACTCTTCACTCTACATCAACTTCATTGATTATGAGAAGGCATTTGACAGTGTAGATAGGAGGACGTTATGGAAACTTCTTCGACACTACGGAGTTCCTGAGAAGATTGTCAACATTATCCGGAACTCATACGATGGACTACAGTGCAAAGTAGTGCATGGAGGACAGCTGACAGACGCATTCCAAGTAAGGACCGGAGTATGACAAGGTTGTCTACTCTCTCCCTTCCTCTTACTTCTGGTGGTCGACTGGATTATGAAGACCTCGACATCTGAGGGAAACTACGGCATACGATGGACAGCTCAGAACCAATTAGACGACTTGGACTTCGCAGATGACCTAGCCCTCCTATCACATACACACGAACAAATGCAGATAAAGACAGCCAGCATAGCAGCAGTCTCTGCATCAGTAGGCCTCAACATACACAAAGGGAAAACCAAGGTCCTCAAACACAACACGGAGAACAGCAATCCAATCACTCTTGATGGCGAAACTCTGGAAGACGTGGAATCCTTCACATACCTGGGAAGCATCGTCGATAAACAAGGAGGCTCAGATGCAGACGTCAAGGCGAGGATTGGCAAAGCTAGAGCGGCATTCCTTCAACTGAAGAACATATGGAACTCAAAACAACTCTCAACCAATATCAAAGTCAGAATCTTCAATACGAACGTCAAGGCAGTTCTACTGTACGGAGCTGAAACTTGGAGAACTACAACAACCACCATCAAGAAGGTACAGGTATTTATCAATAGCTGTCTACGCATGATACTCAACATCCATTGGCCGGATACCATCAGCAACAGCCTTTTGTGGGAGAGAACCAACCAGCTTCCAGCTGAAGAGGAAATTAGGAAAAGACGATGGAAATGGATAGGACATACATTGAGGAAATCATCAAACTGCATTACGAGACAAGCGCTAACTTGGAATCCTGAAGGGAAGCGGAAAAGAGGAAGGCCAAAGAACACATTACGTCGGGAAATAGAAGCAGATATGAAAAGGATGAATAAGAACTGGAAAGAGCTGGAAAGGATTGCCCAGGACAGGGTTGGATGGAGAATGCTGGTGAGCGGCCTATGCTCCTTCACGAGGAGTAACAGGCCTAAGTAAGTAAGTAAGTAACTGATCGAATTGTCACTCGGACAAGTGACCATACCGCAGCTCGATTAATAGGATTCAATTAGTATTAAGGGCTAGACAAACGTGACATTGGTCACAACTCATTGATCAGTTAACGTGTCTCAGACATACAAGAAGTCAGTTACGGTCTGTACAGTCTATTGGATACGTCTCGAACTATCAAGATTGGTGACGCGGGTTCAAAGCTTAGGTGGATGACAAGTCCCCTCAAGATTACTGTTTTTAGCCATCTTATACAGTGTAAGGTTAGAATACAATCTACGAGAATATATCACATGTATTGATAGGTAAAGATAAACGCTGTTTATTAACTACGAACTGCTTCAAGTATTAATCGATAGACTGTACCATTTTGATTAGGAGTGATTAAACATACCATGAGGAATAAATTGAAACACTAAATCAAGTAAATCTGGGAATTGTAATGATTATTGAGCAACCAGAAAATATAGGCAAACAATAATCTATGCCGAATAAAAAATTGCCACAAAAATTTAATTCTATACACGTGAATAACATACTGAGGATAACAACGGTAAACTACAAAAGTTTCCAGCCGGATTACATAAACAAAAAGTTGTAATTCTTGATGGAAAATTAGCGTTCATGGCATTATTACCATCAGTAGTAGTATTATTATTATAGTCATTATCTTTCAGTAAGTTGATCTGAGCTAAACCAACATGAAATTGTGATTTCCTATAAAATTGATTAAAAGATGATTGTTTCCAGGATGGATAAATCCATATTAATCGGGTGATCAACCCTAAAATAAACAAATTAACAACAGCGGAAGCAATCATTCTATAATAATAATTTGATTTGAATCATTTCTATAAAAAACTAAACAACCACTAGAAAATACTGAAAAAAACAAATAAAGTTGAAATATCGACCATCATTGATAAAATTTGGGAATAAATCACGTTCCACTATATAATCTAAAGTTATTGTATTGTTTAAATCGACAATTGTAAACAAAAAATTTACCACCATTTTTACTTCCAATCTTCATCAAAAAGAACTAATTAACCTTGCTTCATTTTGTATACAACTAGTATGCGCACATACCTTGATTACATATAGTGTTTTATCGGTCGTAACCATAGCGATACTGTGAGCAATTGGATTTATCGAGCTTTATTGATTAAATAATGCCAATTTATCATTATTGGCAAAATTCACGAGCAATAAAGTTGAATGAAATACTTTTTAAGTAATATGTATGATTACGTTGTTAAAACATGAAGATAGTTCATGTTGGGAATGCAAGATCCCAAGAAATCATTTGGTAAATTCGTTTTTGTAATTTTATTATAGAAATTTGAATTTCGTAGTGTATTTATACACATGAGTGTGTGCTTGTTGTTTGTTCGTTCTTCCGAGTTTTTCGTGGAATTATATATTTACTAATTGAGTCTAGTCTATTCTTTTTCGTTAGTGGGACTGGGGCGAAGTGGAATACCTTAGCTTTTCCTAGTACTGTGTTGCTGACTTTCATTCTGTTCACCGGTCCTAGGTGATATTGTAATTTCTCGAACTGAGCAGTTCAGTGAAAATTTTCTTTTTTGCTAGAGAATCTTTACTATCGTATTTACAATTATTTTCTACACATATTAGTTCAAAATAATGTCAGTCATGTAACAGAAAATAGTACGTATGTATACCAGCACCATAGCAAGCGAATTCGAACCATGTCATTCAAGGTCTCTAACGACTGGTTACGATAATCATCCGGACCTAAATCAGGTAGTTCATATCTATTAAAACGACTAGACTCAGTTGTCACTGACTTTGTGGATCGATTCCATGTTCTGGCTTGGCATACTCTTACACCGTACAACATCATTCATCGAGATGATCGGTGGTCGGGCATACCGTACACATGTCCCAACCACCTCAGTTGATGAAGATTTACTACTTCATCAATCGATTTGACAATAAAGTTGAAAGATATTGAGTAAATAACACAGTTATCATATTTTAGGTATCCAGTACAAACTGTTTAAACGTTACCTACTTGATACTTAAAACTTTTTATAACCTTTTCAGTGATCACATTGGTCTTGTATTTTGTTATAGACTACTATCTGCAGAGGAAATTGATAGAAAGTGAACAGATTTGCTAAATCACACAAGAGTTTTAAATGACATAATCATAGATGCTATCATACAGGTATTCTCACTTTATTCTTCTTGAATATGTCCAGCAGATTAACAATGGGCATCCATATTCTAGTTGTTTGACAATAATAAATTTATTGATAACTTGGCATTATTCGACTAAGGCAATAGCACACAGTATAACCATAGTTACGACCGACAAAACAATTTATGTAGCCATTAGACTGTCTGTATTAGTTATATATAAAACAAGTGATATAGCGAATGTTTAGTTTTTTATCTCAGTCTCAAGTATATTATTATAAAACTTTAATGTGATAATAAAACTAGTCACATTATATCAGAACCAGGATTCATGACCTAGAATAAAGAATCAGATTAGCACTAGATAAGACTTTCTTTAATACAATTACAAGCAGTAACTTTCAGTGCGCATGGAGTAGAAATCGATTAAAGGAAAGGGAATCACATATTTAACAGTCCGTAACCTAAGTGGCTGTTTCTCCAAGTTCAGTGTCCAATCATATCTCACTTCCACTACCACACATCAATAAGAATAATCCGCTCTTAATTATTAAGATTTAATACAAAAGTAAAGATAAGAAAGCAAATTCAAATAGAAATACTAAGATAAATGAGTGGCAAAATGACAAAAATAAATTAAGATAATTAGTAATAAGGCACAAAATACGATGAAAATCGGAAGCCATCAAAAACGTAATGACAGATATAATGAAGAGGAATAAAAATATCGTAACTAAAAACAAAGAGGTATGAAACGAAGTGTTGCTTGTTTTGTTTTGAACATTTTGTAAAATAAACTTGTTTTACAAATATTCAGTGAAAGTGTATTAAAGCAAACACTAAACAAAATGATTTAACAGTTTTTTAAGTATAAATATGATCATTTTCACTCTTGTAGACTGATGATGGATAATGATTGAGATGCGTTAATTACTAGGCGCAGACATATGCATCACAAAGAAACTAAAACACGCATACAAACGAAGACATTTTCATTTTGCTGAAAACAAGGAACTTCAGAAAGAGAATATAAAGGTTGAATTGAGATTTTAGCTTTGATGGGCTTTATTGAAATCATGAACCAAGTTAGACCACCATTGAAAATTTGGAAGCACAGGACGGGCGTGTCGTCCTAATATAGGATCACTCAGCAGTGCACACCTAAAATCCCGTACGGAGAACCTTCCGTATCGCACGTAAACGCCTAACCACTAGACCAATGAGTTGGCATCCAACGGTGTTAATGTCTAACGTCAATCAATACATGACTATCTTCCATTGTCGACTGTGCGTAACTCCTTTACACCCAACGCGGGTTAGCTTCACTGGTCACGGCTTCTCACTAGAACTCCGGAATTTTCCTCTTGAAACTAGTCACTAGTAAGTATATGGTAATCGTCAGTAAGGGGTTATGGGAATCCCTGTTGGGTTTATTTATGTAAAATAAGTCAATGCTCGGAAGAAAAAGAGAGATGAAAATTAGCAAATATTATTGGGGGAATATCCCTTTTAATGTAATAACGTAAATCTGTATAGTGTATATGAGAATTCAACTTGTATCAAGGTCAACTTCAGTGTAGAATTGTTTTACTGTATTACCGAATGGTGTCAGAAGAGACAAACGTTGAACGTGTTATGACCCAAAAATAATGGGTCTATCAATGTATCTGAAAACAACAAATTAAATACTAAAAAGTTAATACTACATTTAACTCATGTAAACGTTTTACATACTTTTCTGTCAATGAATTAATGCCCACTGAGACCATTGAAACACTATTAATGACTGTAGTTTTAATGTCTACTACAAGAACCTTGAACTGGCGTTAAATCACATTAAATTTCTAGATTGTATTAATTATCGTTAATGCCTTCTTAACACGCATCACAAAACGTTATTACTGAGTAATTATAGACTTACTACATATAGAGTATTAAGCAGATATATGTTTATGTATTGATTTAATTACGTTATATCTAGAACTTAGATTCGTAATATACCGCGTATAATCGAGAACTCGAACAATAGAACCCACCAAGCCGCAAATGAAAAGACAGAAGAAAAGTGAAAGGAATCCTATTCCAAACAATGTTAACTATGGTACAAAACTGTCAAGTATTTATAGTTTTTAGTAAAAACAAAATCATCATTAGCGTCCGCATACAAGGGGTTAATAGCATTTGTCCAATAGGGAAGCTACACGTAGGGATTCGGGAACATGCTTCCAAAAGATGATTGGATGGGATATATTCGGCTCTTTCTGAACTTCTCAGAGCTTCCCCGAGTTAACCCGTGGGCCGTCTTCACAGATTACTACATATAATACGTGAAAGCTAACAAGAAATGATCTATTTGAACGAAAAGAAATGTACTAAATAAAGCAAGAACTAACATTAAGGCAGAATAATATGAATTTATCATATTTTGTCGTTTTTGATCAGCTGCTTACAACCATATATATATATATATATATATATATATATATATATATATATATATATATATATATATATATATATATATATATATATATATATATATATATATATATATATTGAAGTAAGATGTAATGTGAGACAATTACATGAAACTGTACTAAACTTGATTTTCTATAGTTCAGCACAAAATGATTGATGGCATATGTATTGAATAACTGAAATAATAAAACAGATAAGTCAATACGTTTATGAAGAGAAACAATGTGTTACTCAAAAGAATTCGCTACCACTCACTGTAAGTCCAGGTAGAAAATTACTGTATATACTAAATTTAACATAAGTATTAACTAAAACACGTGAGAAAATATACTAATTAATTTCAATAAACTGTTAATTAGATACAGAGTAAAAAAGTATAGAATCGGCTTCTTCAGATTAAAATAATTAAAACTTGCTTAAATTGATAACAATAGAATTATGTAAAGCAATGTGGGACGTGAAAAACAATTTTTATCTAACTTAGAAATATTTTCGAATTTGAATACAACTCACAAATACAAAAGGAACCCATAATAGAGTACAACTACTGAATTTTAACGCTCATATACGAACTTACCATGAAATACATTAGTTAAGAATACTCGGTATTGTTCTCGTTTATCGAAATCTGTTACAGAATTTAACTGACCATCAAACGGAAATGGTGACTGACTACTGAAACTAATCTATGAAAATAGGGAAAAGAAAATAACAGAGCACAACTGATAAAACATTTAGCAGATTTAATGAATAAATTGTATTGTAAAATTTACTATCAGACAAAAGGAAGCGCATAAACACATAAGTAATAGACAATCGTGTTTCAAACCACCAAGTGGTAATCATAACTTAAGGAGTAAATATAAGATTATGGAGAAAATAATTTGAAAAATACTAACCAAATGATTTTAATCCAGTAGGGTAGTAAAAATATTTATTTGAGCACATAAATATTGGTACAAGGGGGCACCGAATAGATATGCGCCACATAAATCATTCGATTTGTGTGAAGGCTAGGATACTGCCCGGGTGTCCAAACCGGAGCAGGTGGTTTTCTTAGGGAGCCACACCCCGAGCCTTTGACCTAAAGGTCTAATCCACAAGGCAGTAAAACAACGTCAGAGGATGGAGTCCCATGGTAGCCGGTGACCAACGATTGGTTCACACGCCATTCGTTCCCTCAATCCTGGAGCCCATGTGCACAATTGGTTTGGAATAAGGTTTTTTTAACTCTCCTGGGTGAACCCTCATAGTACACCAACTCGATTAAAGCACCGAACATTCGCTTTTCGTCCTCCCATTTCGTAAACAGCACCACCCCCCGTCACGAGAAGGCAGTGATTAGGACTTCCCTGGCAGTGGCTATATACGCGTGGCCATGTGAGAGTATTTCGAGAGAGAGAGAACTCTCCCCACCCTCGGCCGTACCAGGGCATTTGGGGGCATAGTAAAAAAACAACTTTACATTTCTTGCTAAACATGATTTACCTGCAAAAGATTTTTCCATAGATTAAAAATGATTGTAGTCAGGCTCTAAGTCAAAACAGAATATATTTTTTAAACATATTCTGGCTTTTTCTAAACAATTTATTTAGAAAACATTCATAAGTTAATAAGTAAAGCAAAATAATAATATTTTAATCGATAAAAGTTAACATAATTTTTATTACTTCATTTAAACACATAAACATTAGTACAGAGGGGCGCCAAAATATATATGCGCCACACAAATCATTGGATTTTTGTTTGAAATGGGATAGTGTCCCGGTGCCCAAGCCGAAGCAGATGGCTTTCTTAAAGGGCCATTCCCAGAGTTATTGGCCTGAAGGTCTTGTCCAGAGAGTATTGGAGAAAGGTTAGGAGACGCTATCTCATGGTAGCTGGTTATTAAGGTTAAGTTCATACACCATTTGCTCCCTCAGGCTCCAGGAGCCCCTGTATAACATTGGTTCGGAATCAGGGTTTTCCAACTCCACTTAGGTGAATCAACGGTACACATTAAACCGGTTTAAGCGCTGGATATTCACTTTTCGTCATCTCAATTTCATAAACACCAACTCCTTCGCGAGAAGACAGTCAGTCGGACTTCTCTGGTAGTGTCTATATACGCATATTCATATGAAAACATTTAGAGAGGGAAAGAGGATTCTCTCACGCTCAGCCTTACCAGGGCATTTAGGGGCAATATAATATAAGATAGAACTAGGATTACATGTTGTACATATTTGCTACACAGCCAATACTGAGTCGTCATTTCATTTACGTAACATCTCAAAAAATCTATTAAATCACTCTCTACATTTGATGAGTTTAGAACTATGTATGTGGTATGAAAACCAACAATAGGATAAATATGTGGCACTTTTTCAAGATTTAAGTAACTTCGATCGAAAATGACCTACACAGAACATGATAAAAAGATCCATACCGAATAAGTATTAATAGTAATAACTCATTAACCAAATACAAATTTATACAGTTTACTTTGAGAAATACCGTTTGTGTGAGGTTACCTAAACTCATGTAAATGACGCAGAACACAAATATGTGACCTATTGGCTGGAAGCAGTATGCTTGATGGTTAAAGTCAAGCCAGTGCATTAAAAGCGTTTATATGAATACAGGCAACAACTATTAATGACAATATTTGATTTCATATTAGGGTATTTATCAAAAGAAACTCATACTAATTATTCTATACTACCGTAGACCTATAAAACGGATATGTAAATTAACTTACCAAAGTTATATCACTTGGTGGCAGAATACCTTTCGCAATATACACAGGCCATAAATTAAGCATTGCATCAGTTAGTCGTGAAACAGTATGAATAGTTGGTTTCCAACGATTATCATAATTGTTTAAATTCGCATTATTACCATAACTTGATTGATTCCAAATTACATAGGATAGATTCCAAGTTGTGCGCAAGAATGCACCGATAAGTAATAACCATATAATACATGAGAATAAACTGTAAACTCGTAAATGACGCGATAAGAATGTATTAATTTCTCTCACTTGACTTTGTATAAACTAAATACAAAATAGATGAGTTATAAGAAGAATATTTTAGTTAGTAGTTATAACATATACTTATTTAAAACAATAGCTTTACTGAAAAGAACATTGGAGTAAATATCACGAGGTACAAAGACTAATATCACCAGGTCAATACGTCAACCGATATACAAACAACGATAAGTTACGTAAAGATGAAGTACCATTATGCCTTTTACTTATTTTTGAAATTTCTTTTGGGTTCCCTTGAATTGAAATACAATTAAATGAATACGTAATGATATAAAGTTAGTCCAACATTCAATGCATCAAGTAAACACGCGTATTTGTAGTTAAAGGATAACTCTAACAAGAGCTCAGTAATAACAAATGCTAAGAATAACTGTTTTATTTTAAATTTAGATTACGAGTATTTTAAGGATTTTTATTCGATTAAAATAACTACCTAGTTTATTGTTTAAACAATTTGTCTTTTTTAAAGACAAAAAATTTATGTGGTAACATATACTGCATTATGACAGTACCTTCGGCCTAACAATCCCATCTAAGAAGGTTTCAGGAAATAATCAAAAGTCTACATTAGAAGATCGATAACAATAGACATGGGTAAATATGATTAAAAGTTAGATTTAGTAATTACTATAAATCGTATTAATAGAGTTCGAAGTAACTTTTTTCAAAACATGATATCAGTCCGAGTCACACTGAAAACTAAAGAGCAATGGATAAATATTTGATTGTAATTTATAACTCATTATCAGTGAACGATTTTAACATCAGGTCTCAGTCCAAACACGATAGTTTTACATAACTGAGATTTTTAGTTTCAACCAGCTTTTGAGATTGCGTGATAATTTTTGATTTCTGATAGTAATTTACCGTTTTACTCTCACGAACTCTACGATTAACCAAATTAGTATGATTAAACAATAGAGAAAACAAAAGAAATCTTTAAGAAAACTGAACCTGTTTCTAAATGAATATTTTAACGCACTTATACATTACATAACGTTATAATATGAAGCACTAATAAAAATCGAGATTATAAAGCCGCGTTTTGTCAAAAGATATGTTGTTAGTTGAGTGCATTTGTACTCCAGTAGGTGGTGAATTTCCTATTGATATATAGACCGAAATCTTGGTCTATTTCAATAAGTTAGCTAAATAATAGAACTTAAAGAGATGTATATCAATAAATAATACAGTTTAATAAGTAAAATAATGATTAATAAATATTATCCTAACCCATTAATATATATATATATATATATATATATATATATATATATATATATATATATATATATATATATATATATATATATATATATATAACACGAGTCTTAAAATAGACCAAGCGAAAATTGTAGTTGTATGCAAATGATCGATTAACTACGAACAATTTAACTGATGTACTAACCTTCATGAAGTAGTTAGATCTGTACATCGAAATTCGATGAATATACACCATCCAATTTATTATTAGTATGGAAAACAATACAGTATCCTAATTCATAACAAGAGATATGATCTAAAAAGATAATTACGGAAAAGAGGTTACGGAAGATGAATGTTAAAGAAAAATCACAGCAAATAAACCAAAAGTCAACATCTAATAATGATCGATACCTAATCAAAAGCGAAACATTTAAATAAGTTCGTACAAAACGATAGATAGGTAAAAATTTGTTCGAAACAAAAGAGAAGTTAGGAGTAATGACTCACTGATTAAGGTGTTTGACTTTCAGTTAGTAATTTGCATGTTAAAACATCACTCTGACTACCTCCGTTTAGAAAACCGGATATTATCACTAGCCCCACAATTAAAGTGTGGCTAAAAGTTAAGTATATGAAGTCATCAGGTTGGTGATTTCGCAATATTAATAATTAGATTGTGATAACTGTCAATTTAATCAATAAATATTATGCACGATAAACAAGAGTTAATGAGAACATATAAAGTTGATGTTAAATAAGTAATTGTTCAGACATATGTAGTTCATATACACTGAAGTAAGATACCGCATACGCATGTTAGATTAATGAAATTGTCTGACTAATGACAGTTTCTTAAATATCTGTTAAGTACGCCAAACGCTAAATGAAATACGTTAAATTATGAATGAAGCCACTTAGGTCTTCTCTTCGTCAATTTGTTAAATTTTTTTAAAAATTAAGAGTAACAAGTTGTCGGAGAATTATATCTGGAATTAACTCCCCTTAAATTTTCTCTCCAAACGAATGGATTCAACTTATACAAGAATAGGGACACAAAAGATACCCAATTAAATTGATAGTCTCAAACTGTAAACTATAAAACGCATGATAGTCAAATATTTTATCTTCAGAAGGGGTTTTGTGAAGATTTTAGAAATTTCACTGGTTGAAATCATGAGTCAATTGAAGCTAGACCACCATGGAAAACCTGGAAGCACTGGACGTCCGTTTCGTCCTAGTACGGGACTCCTCAGCAGTGCGCATCCACGATTCTGTCCCCCGCGAGATTCTAACTCAGGACCTATCAGTCTCGCACCAGGCGCTTAACCAACTAGACTACTGAGCCGGCTCCAACGGTGTTAATTTCTAACTTCAACCAATCCACAAAGTTGCGCCACCGTACACCGTTGTCTTCAGTGAGTTGATATCTCAGAACAGACCTGGTCAAACTCCATTGGTAACGGTTTCTCACTAGAACTCCAGGAGTATCTCTTAAAGTCAGTCACTAGTGAGCAGATGATTATTATAAGAAGGGGTTTTGTGGAGATTTTAGAAATTTCACTGGTTGAAATCGTGGATGCGCACTGCTGAGGAGTCCCATACTAAGACGAAACGGCCGTCCAGTGCTTCCAGGTTTTCCATGGTGGTCTAGCTTCAACTGACTCATGATTTCAACCAGTGAAATATTTTATCTATCTGACATTACAAACAAGCAGATTAAGGCTAATCACTTAGGAAATAATTTGTCACTGACATAGCACCTTTGTCTGTATGACTAGTTGCATAATCAGATTATCGATCGTTCTAAACCTTTGATAATTAATCGTAAATAAATTTCAAAAAATCAGAGCACGGTCATACACAGACGATAAAATTGAAAAAATATTCTTGTCAATAAATATATTACATATATTTTCAAAATATACAACACCGTTCAAAATCTTAAATATGAAATGCATAAAATCAAACTACATCATTTAAAGAAAGCGAAAAAGAAAACTAAATAAAAGAATTTTTTGGTATTAGTAATAATCCCGGATAGTAATACTTTCCATGCTGAAACAACTATTAGTGATATGTTGATAAATGCAAGTACCAGTCAATTGTATCAAAAACGACAATTCACAATAGAAATAAGTAATATATGAAAATGAATGAACAACTCTATGGAAGAATTGAATGTCAATGGCACTAATCATACTGATGATATGTTGATGATATAATTATTTCTGTCACTGTACTCCTCATGAAAAAAAAATAATGATACAAGTCATCACAGAAAATCTACATAATACACAAATAGAAAGATAGAAAAATGATTATGACATTTTCAGTCTTGGTAAAATGATATGTTGTATTTATTTTGTCGTGAAGAATTCACCGTACAAATAAAACACATGCATTGTATCTTCTATTCAATAATTGATATCATCTTCATAAGTGCTTGATTCACACAACATTTGACGTAATTGTAAACCCTGAAAAAAATGAAGGGAAATTTTAATATATACTCATTTATTTATACATAGTATTAATTAAATCAGTTAGGTAAATCTGTAAACGTAATGTGTATTCATTCGATGAAAATAAAAGTATGAGAAAGTTTTTTACATATCACTTTAGACAGTTTAGTTGTCGTTCAATGTTGAGGAATGTCTAAGTATTGAGGATGTTTAAATATTGACAAATGACTTCTAGAAACTAGTATTCTGTTACGTTTTTGTAAACGTGTATTTGCGCTTCGGTTCACCAAAATTTCTTATGACAACTGTTTTTTATCTTTCAGTGTCAAAAAGAACCCACTACTAGCTAATAAATATCTTCCGTACTGTTATAAGGGATTATAAATTTATTCATGCACAGCACCTGATGGCTTGATTTAATCAACCCTAAACTATACAGTGAATTTTCTGAACGAAGTGCCATATTTGGATTAGTTGGGGACAAGAAGAGGATTAGAAATTAGCCGTCTCCGTTAAAACAACCAAACCTAAGAGTATTTCGCTATACAATCGATTTGTGACATTAAATTACGCAAAAAAACTGATTATTGTAACATGATGTAATATCTAGATCTACAATACTCAGTTCAATACCGGAAATTTTAACATGATATAGCGTGTCATAAACATAATCGTTAACGGGAAAGTGAAATCCTCTTTTTTTATGCAGAACAACCAAGGTTGAATTTGATAATTTCAAATAAATTGAACACAAGATGTGTTTTCAGTAGTAACAAAATATAATAATAAGATTATTTCAAGTTCCTACTCATTAAGATATTGTAAATGTTTTTTATAAGTATTACATATCATCAGTTCATTCAATTTTCCGATAACCTATGCAACTAATTAGACAATTTGCACTTAACGTCTAAATGGCATCTTTTGCGCTGTAGCTACTGAATATCAACATTCAGTAGCCTTGTGAATAGAATGCTAGGTTGTGAAGTGAAGAGAACTGGGTTGTATATATGATAAGTAAACAGGAGAAAATGAATCTCAGATCCCTCTGTCTAAAAATAAGAATTCTAACTACGCACAATATTGAAACATTTCGACAATACGCCAACAAAAACTGACGAAATTCAATTTTGAATATAAATAACAGGAAAATACAAACCAATATAAACAGTAAAAAAAATTCTCATTTACATAAGGACATATAAAATAAAATGGGATGAATAGCTTACCTTACGAATTTCTGATAACTGTTGTAAAATAGTATCTTGTCGGGTAATTGAACGCTCATGTTTTGTATTCAGATTTCGAAGCGAATCCTGATACGAGATAGACAGTGAATCAAATTATTAATTTACATTGAATATATTTTACAGGGACTTATTTTGAGTATTTATTCTTCGATTATGAATAAGACAATTTCAAACAAGCTCTCACATCACAGGGAAGTTGTAAGATGCTTATGTTTGAAAAATTTAGTACTGTGAGATGTAATACTATTGACCAGCCATCTACCAAGTCCAAGTCGTCTAGGTACATCTAACCTGTCTATTGCATTCCGTGATTCCCCTCAGGTATCGAGGTCCTCATAATCCAGTCAACCACCAAAAAAGGGAGAAAGGGAGAGAGTAGGCAGTCTTGTCTGACTCCGCTCTACACTTGGAATGTTTCTGTCAGCTGTTCTCTTTGCACGACTTTGAACCGTAGTCCGTTGTATGAATTCCGTATGATGTTGATGATTTTCTCAGCTACTCACTCTATAGTGTCGAAGAAATTCCCATAATGTTCTCCTATCTAAACTGTTAAATGCTTTCTCATAGGAAGTTGATGTATAGTGACGAGTTTCACTCAATTGATTGTTCACCGATGATCCGTAGTGTCGTAATTTGGTCTGTGCACGACCGATCCTTACGAATCCGACATGTTGATCTCGAAGCTGGTCGTCTACGGCATCTTTCATCCGGTTCAGCAAAACTCTATTGAAAACTTTTCCTGGTACCGATAGTAGTGTGATAAGTCTGTGGTTTTCATACCTGCTCAGATCTCCTTTCTTTGGTGTCTTGATGAGATATCTTTCCAGTCTGTCGGCACTTGTTATTCCTCCCAAATCTTCCGGAATAAAACGTGGAGAATGTTTGCAGCTGCTTCAATGTCGGAGTTTAATGCTTCATCTGGTATACTGTCATATCCTACTGTTTTCCAACTCTTGATTTCTCTGATAGCCATCCTGATTTCTTTGAACGTTGTTGGAGTGACATCTATAGGAGAGTATGAATGTACTGCTACGATGTCCGGTGGATTTACTAGAATATGGAAACCACACACTAAATACATTATAGCACATCTTCCTTCAGTTGTCCGTTACATACTACATAATTCTTCCAATTTTATTGTTAGTACAATTGCTCTTTGTTTCGTCTTCTGTTCTCTCCAATTCAATCTTTTCAGTCTTCTACTGGCAAGTAGTCCACTTCAGATTGCTGCCACATACTACTTATATATGTCAGCATAAGTAGCATACCCTACACTCGTCCCCTGTTTAAACGGTCACTACTGTAATTATTCTTTCTTTCTGTGTTCGTCTGTGCCACGCTACTCCATCGAAATGTTGAGTCCACCGATGCGCAGAACCATCAGCTCTGTCGACCTGCCGGGCCATCTAAATCCGATGTATACCCAACACGCTGGACGTCAAACACCTGCTCTCCAGAGACCCATTGAGCGATTTACATCCGATTTTCGCCCAGCATCTGGGGCATCCCACATCATCTCCCTATAGACAATGAGTGCTAAGCTCAACGCCGTCTCGCCAGACATATATGTATAGTGAGCAGTCAGAACAGTCTTCTGACTACTTTCGAAATAGAATGTTTATTTATATTAAGCTGATAATATGGAACTCGAAATCTGTCGGGGCAATTATCACAAAGAAGTATTCCGTTATTGTTGAACTGATCATACACCGGTTCATCATCTAGGAACAATTCACTTTAAGTAGTTTTGTGGGGCCCTTTATTATGTCGTCATTTAGATCGAACGATGTTGTCGAAGGGCTCTCCACTTTAGTGGTCCGGGATCTGACTCCAATTTGATCGTATGAATGATCGTTGTCGAAATATATATGTCGCCTATCCTCGTATATAATCATCGACTTAAATCGCATTAGTCAATAACGGAATTAAATAAGTCAAATAACGAGAATGGACTTTTGAATACATATATTTTGTACATGAAGCGAATGGAATAGAACAAAGCGAAACGACGTGTAGTGGAAATGGCAGGCAAGCCAACTCCCCTTTCACCCAAGCATTAATCAATATTTATAGTTACACTAAAATAAGTTACAGACATGTGATGAGTAATGGGATAAGATGTGTACACACACATTTGCGGTCATATAAAAACAGTCAAGATTGATAAGCGAATAATTAACAAGGTCAGAATGTGACTCAAATAGAATGAATAGGTTGGTTTGTCCGGAAGCTAGAATAAGACATGGGCTTAACATAATAACCGACACTACAGTAGACTTAAACTAAGACGCGATTAAGTTCTAGCAGGACAGATAAGAAATATACGATTTATGTAAACAAACATATTTTAAACTACCGATGATTATGTCATAAGCCTAACTTCATTATCAAAACAATTTCGGTGGTATTTAAATTAAAATCTTTTTCACTCGTTAAATTTAGCAATAACCAGGAATGGAAAGTTGAATGAGTAAAAAGAAATTATGTTTGCTGGTTTATGAAAAAGGATTATAAAGGTAAATGGAGCAGACTTTATTACACATGAGTAATAACTATCTAGTATAATGTCTGTGTTAGGGTATTTTTATGTGCTATTGATATGATGGGCAAGAAATATACTTAAGATTCAGATAGTAAAAAATGTTTATATAATGAAAATAGTTATTAATCACGTGGACCTGTCAGATGCTAAGAAAGCCCAACTAACACTCCTTATGTCTACTAGTCTAAGAATTTACTGAGAAGCTCAAATAAACAGGTATATATACACATATATTGTTGAGTTGAGAGGTTAAAAAGATTGATTAGAGTGAACAGTATTTGCTTATGATGTATATAATATATTTAAATGAAACAAATAAAAATAAACAATTTTAAGATACCGAGTAATTTACATGAATATGCTGTATGCAAACAATTTGAGTATAACATTTCCCCAATCTCCCTTATGAAAAAATTAATATGTTATGTCACATTGTGTAAGTTAAAAATGCAGAATAAATACATTAAATTTTTTAATAGTATGAGTAATAACACTTAAACTTGTAACACTAAAATTATCATGATTGTAATATGAATAAAACATGAAAAAAGGAGCTCAATTGACAAAATAGTATAAACATTAGTTTGTTAGACTGAGGCAAAACCTCACAGAAATGAAGGTCGGCCTAAAATTATATTTAGTCATATATATATATATATATATATATATATATATATATATATATATATATATATATATATAATTAAGCGGGACTTTACTTTGCCTTCTGATTTTCTAGTATTCTCCACAACACCAGGTTCATGACTGATAGGCAATATTATATTTGCATCATTCGGAATCAATACATCATAAGTACGAATAAGATTCGCAGGCCCATAAGGATTTTCATGATTAAGAAATGTAGTATTATTTGGAGATTCAGTGTTGACAGTTGAAACTTGATGTTTTTGCATTGAAGTTGACGATACACTGTAGGCTGTGGATACTTAAAACAGTTGACAAATTTATTTTATTAATAAAGAAATACAAGACTATATTTAAAAAAAGAGCAATTAGTACACAAAGTTGACTTTATTAAAAATGTGACAACTGTAAACATTCAATCCTGAGAGTATTGTTCAATCTCTATATGAAGCCTATGCATGATGATATAATACATCAAGTCTGTGCATTCCATTACAGAATAAAATGCAATGGTTAATACCTACAGTGGGATAAGTGAATTTTCATGGTGAGTCATATATATTTCGAGAATCAGTTTCTACCGACAAATATGGAGAAATCTTGGGGAACAAACTGAATAAACCTTCATATTGAACTGTCTGATGATTCACAGTTGACATAGCATCTAACTCTATAAACAGATTGTGTAACACCAGGAGTGCGAATCTATGGATGAGTTAACGTAACAGATGATAAGGACACATTCTTTTTAGTTTATTTTGGAGAACATTGATGATGCTATTTTCAGAAACGGAAAAAAATGTACACAATAAATATAAATACAATTTAGCGCACTTAAGAATTTTCAGCATCTTGTTTAACCATGAATTTGGACCCAGAAGTATACATCATATGTTAGTTAATTTCAAACAAAACTATGGAAGCCTTTAAAACAAAAACCCTATGTAACATAAATATGTATTGGAAAATAAATGTGTTAAGTTACTTAATGTTCCAGTGCCACGTAACTATCCCTACATTACTTTAAAGTAGAACTAGAATATAAGTTATTATCGATACTACTAATCCATATTGAATCAGAACTGATTAGATAGAAAAATAATCACATCACCGACTAACTGTATATAGGTAGAATGTGTGTGTTATGTGGATTACATATAGAAAGTTTATTTTAATATGTTTATATTAAGCGATAGTGCAAAGAACAGATAATTCTATGTTAGACATTTCTGGCAAATTTAAACAGCAGTCATAACAACTTTACATCAGGAAATATAACAAATGTAAGAAAAGTCGGATGGAAATTTTTTTGTATTTGAACTATAAATTAACAACAAATTCTGAAAGTTCATGATTGACTAGTCTAATTAAAATGTACCCAAGCTTTAAAATGAAATGCTGTAATTTCTGTAATCAAATAAGCTCAGTCCTAATGGCAGTGCCTTAATTGGCTAAATAAGGTACGATAAGAAAGTTAAAGCTCTCACAAGTGAATTGAAATCTGGAATACACAAAATAAGTTGTTGATAAAAAAAAGATAAATAATCAATTTAACAGTATATTAGGCATCCGAATATTTTCATTTAAATCCTACTAAGTGGATTACTTGGAGGGTTTACTATAATAGAACAAACAATGTGTGAAATGTTAGCTCCATTTAGTTGGGTAATAACTAGTGAGAACCAGATAAATAAATCTTGCTATCATTTATCAATCATAAACCACATTGTCCATAGTACTGGTCCAAGCTATCACATTATTGAAACGAAAATGTAATAAATATAACAACTTGATAAACAAGTATATATTTATGTACTCAACCTCGATTTGTACATTTTTGAAAGCTGAAGATTTTATCCGTTCACCAAAACCAGTAGTTACAATGAAACCCAAGATTATGATAAAATTGTTGAAAGTTAAACACTTTAGCTGTAAAGAGTAAATATTAAATATAAATTGTTACTAATTCTTAACAAAAAGAAAAGTATTTATGTAGCTCACTTGGTATGGGAATACGTGATTTCATACTACTTCCATCTTGGACAGATCTACCATTAACGAAAAATACATGAATAAAAAACACTTTATGTTGATTTATTATAGATTATAATAAAGAAAAATAGCATAGTTATCCAAGCGGTCAAATTAACAACAGAACAGAAATCGATCAGTTGAGAAGGATATGGAAAAATGAACATGTCCTCTTTATGAGTAAAGGGGACAGGCCAATTTACATGGAACCCAGATTGAGGTATACGCCAATTATTTTGTTGCATCTTTTCGAGGAGTTTCTTTAAAATACTGGTCGATATCTGATAGTATGGAGGAGTTTTATGATGTAATTATGGAGATTTATGAATGTAATACCAGAAACTTTATCTAGACGACTCAGGATTGAGCCTTTATTTCTTACGAGAACTAGAAGTTATGATATAATTTACTTACGAACGTTTTATTGATATTGACATTAGCATTTTACAATAGTTATTTTGAGTTGTTAAAATTCTTTGTCTTCTGATACTCGAAATCTCAGGACACTTTATGATGTAATTTCTTTTTAGAATTTCATAGATTTATACATTTACTAAATCACTACAAATACAATTGTGAAGCTTAAGTAAATGATTTAGTCGAAAAGAAAATTTTCTCCACCGAATCGCCTTTCTTTTCCTTTAATGACACAATGACTTACTATTAGTTACTTAGAGTATAATCTTTTGAATACTTCCTAAATTAGTGGAGTAAAATAGGAGTCAATCAGTTGTATGATGTTCGAGGACAAATTTTTTTTCTTTTACAGAACCCCTGTTTTACTTAAACAAATATTAATCTCTTCTTCTCAAGACTTTATAGTATACAGATATTTTATGGTCAAACTGTGATAGGAACGACGAGCTAACTAATAGTACTGGTAACTACTCAATTACTGAAAGGGAGTTTATGTACTGACCTAACTTCACATTTGTTTGGAAGCTAACGATACTAGGCGTCTGCCCGAACTAAAATATGTGGAACAGTATTTAAATCTGAGATTATAACACCTACATCACTTCTTTAGGATGTTCAGAAATCGTTAAAAACGACCGGAAATAGCGTAATAATTTAAAGGCTGGTGAAATACATTGAGGTGAAGATAATCTATGAACGAGTGATAATAACAACATAATAACTTGCTTTTAATATTCGATTCTCATAAACAATTTATGACACGATAACAATTCAAATTATCAAAATTATACACCCTTCTATTTTACAATAGACTACTATTTTTAGTGGATAAATTAGCTGTATATACGACTGTACAGCTTTAATAAATGAAATCGTTGAAAATAATGTCTTCACTGAAATGCCTTTATTCTTTTTCAATGACACAATGGATGTTTTCTTGGCATTATACTTTATAATTATCAAGTGCATATCTATGATTTATCGATTCTCATCAGGGACGAGTTGTTCTGAATGAGGCTTACCAGAAGTAGAATGGAAATATTCTTAAGTAATTAGTACGTAATAATATGAACAGTAATAACAAAAACAAAGAAAACTATACCTTTCGAACTTATTTGTACCGGTACATGAATTAATTGTTTGTGCGCCATTACTGCTTGATAGTTTTGATTGTTCATTGGCTGATTTAGAAAAGCCATTATCATTATTATTATATGAATCAGAATTAAATGTTTGAGATTTTGAAGTTTGTTTACCTTTTAGTAGTTGTGGTACTTTTGTTTTATTATTAACTGGATTATTATTATTTGTAGGCTTATAATTTGAAGTTAATCGATTTGGTCGAGCTGCATTTTCATTATCATTGGGAGAAAAAGGAATACAACATTATAATATAATTATTTAAATACACTCATTGTTAAAAATAAGATGATGCGGTAATTACTAAACATTACAAACAGTGAATAAAACATTATTAGAATTATGTGTATTGATGTATAAGATCTCATTCGAAAGACCAGTCTTTCTCTTGTTACCAAGTACATTCATCAGAAACGGTTGTAGTGTAATTACTAGTCATGTTTCGTTAATTTGCCATTACCTCGGATAATTTATGAAGTTGGTGATATAATGGGGCGAATAGTGCTGAAGTATACCTTTCCAGACTTTCATACGAAGGGTTATTATTTATATTTTCATCATATAATTAGTGGACCCTTCGATTGTTGTATTTTTACATCCTCCAATTTCAAATCTTTTGTTTGATCCATTATTGCTTGTCATGCATCTTATCATTTCGGATTTACCATCAGTTGCCTTTTCCCCCTATTACTCGAATTTTGTATAACCTAGGTATAAGTTATGTACGCATTGTAATTTTTTATAGTCTTGTTTTGTGGTTAGACATTTCAGGTATATTATTGTATGAGTTCTGAGTTATATCTGCGTTGAGTATAGTAAAGAACTTATCTGAATTCTATCTTCGTCTTTCGATTAGTCAATGGGGTTAGGAGCTCAAGGGTCGATAAGCATTGAAGTCTTGGTAGTTATTCATTGATCGGTGTGTCACTGTGGCACTTAGGTTACCGATCCATATGCCAATATTAGTGAGCTATTCGACAACCGGATTGGATGGACCAAGATCATACAACTGCGTTCCTATCATTACTGCCCACATGGATCTCAACACAACCCAAAGCATCTATTTTTCTCGACATAATAGTTGGTATTCTGATCTTAATTTATTAATAAATAGTCACTTTGATGTGGTGAAGATTTGTAGCTTGAAAAAATAATTTTAGTGACACAGTATTAATTAAGCTTGCCGATTTAGTCGTGAAGCTTTCGTCTGTCTTTCTACACAACATCGTCAGTATAAACTACTGGAATTTCTAATTTATTTGTAAAAATTGTAGAAAATAAATTTTACTTGAAAGAGTGAATTCACGCAATATATATTATGTGTCAGTGGTGAAAGTAAGGCGTGATCGGCTATAGTGATCCTATAGTGTAAAGGAAAAAATATCATACACTGGTAATTCATCCACTTAGAAACCGTAGACTTTATTGTGTATGGTATCCAAAGTAGCACAAAATGAGAACATTATATCAGTAGTTGATCCCATCATTTGTAATCAGAATTAGTTAAGGATTTGGAATTCACTCACACTGTTGTTTTTGCTGAGTTGACACAGATACAGACATTTTACTGGGATTATTCTTTACTGATTTGTTGTCACCGGGTTTTAGTTTGTAAGCAGAAGTGCCATTATTTTGATTTTTTGAATCTGGATTATTCAAAACTTGTTTGTCTTTCGAGTTAGTCCATTCGAAGTTTTCTAAAATAGATTCGAAATGAGAACATTTCATGTTGCATATTGTCGACAACATAACTTGAAAACGTTCTCAATGATACAAGTATACATAAAACTATGGTTTCCCTAATAATTAGTGTTTACTGTTTTTTAAGCATGAAAAAAGGAACGTCATGCTTTTTCGATCAGTATGTGATAGTAAGTTAAAGTATCTTCATTGCTTTGCCAGACATTACTATTACCCAAAAAAACTTTGAACTACCCACTATCAGGAGACAAGTATATTGAATAAGCCAAAGAAACAGATATAGGCAGTGTCAACTTGGTTCACGTCACCTAGCAAGTGAGTTCATAGACAAGTGCGGAAGATGTGAACACAACTACGCATATTGGGATCTACCTAGCTGTTGGGTTGATCATTATAGTGGATAAAGTTTAAATTAGAAACAGAGGAATAATCAAGTCCTATTTTCTAAGTGGTTTGTTTGACTGACAATAATTAATCGTTAGATGATGAGAAAAAACCAATCATCTCAACAGAAGTAAGCAAATATTTTAACATTAGTTTGGACTTTTTCTGAAAACCAAAAGTATGAAATATAACAACACAAAAGGATACCGTTTTAAGAATCAAAACCAGAAGCCGCGACATATATTTTTCCCTTGTTATGAGTGGCTAGTCTCTTTTTTAAAATGAACCGATGACTTAAAATGAATGACAAAAAACATGTATGACTTTTAGAATACTTCAGGCTTATATCTCTGACTCAGTGTGAAAACTTCGAAAAAAATCGGACACTTGATTTGAATATCAAATAACAAACACTACACAGCAGAAGTTGATCCTCTTCCATAGAACTTTATATGACACTATGCTACTTTAAAATTCGACCAAAATTTACTTTACAAATTTAGTTAGATAATATGACCTTTACAACCCTCAACGTCTCCTTAGGTCCACACAGTGTGACTTCAGTACGAAATTTGCAAACAACAGAGGGTGTAGATTAAGTTATCGCACTAAAAAAATGCTATCAAATGCCTATATCAAGAGACTTAAAATATTACTGATACATAATGGCTAATTATGTTCATAACTTACAAGTCTACTACTATGCAGAATCTCTCAAACTGTAATTAATAAACTAGACTAACTGGGTTGTAATTACTGACTTATGCGCGAAAAAAACGATAAAACCTAACTTTATTGCAGAAAGAATCTGTTTACCTGTTTGAATGCCGATATTTTCGGGAAACGATGTTTGAACAGCCAATGAATTCTTAGGATATGCAGCAGACTACAAATGAATAAAATTAATAGATATCAATAGATACTGGGTAAGATAATGAAATGTACAATAAAATATAAATAATAATACTGGAAAATATCTTTAAACATTGTATTCAAAATATGACCAATATAACTACATAAATCGATTAGCGATAGAACTAAGCACTACGAATTTGTATCAATTTGTCACACCTCTGGATATTAACTGTGAGCAATAAATAACAAAGAAAACAGAATTTTAGAAAATGGACTAAATATAATAGTAAAATTAAGCACGATTTGACTGTCAAATAATACACTTAAGGTCGATAAGGAACACAAGTGTAACTGATGATATTAGAAGCTCATAAACAGTAATTTAGCATATACAAATAATCATGTCACTAAGTTTTCATCTATGTATAAAATTTAAGTCAATAGTTAGTCGCCCTTTATTTAAAAAAGATTTTGCTTTAATCTTCATAGACTGACTAAATATAGGATGTTAAATTGGGCTTAGTTAAAGACCAGAATAAGTGAAGTGATAAACATACTCAGTGGCATCAGTTCATATTATCAGATTAAATGTTGAGGTGAAAATAATCATACGACAGTGAACTTTATTAACATAAAAATTGCATGTAGGAAGTGAAATTTAGCTTCATAATTATGAATATTATTCAAATCGATTAGTAAAAGGCAATGATATTAGTAATAAACAATATCTAATACTGTTTCTATTGATAAAGCACAACAAATAAAATACAAATATCATTTCCATAAACAAATATTTATAAAAATCCCATTTATCAAAATATTGATAATAATTATCGGAACATATTGACTCACATCTGGCGCATTACAACCGGATGAAGATAGGAAAGCATACAAATGATTATTTTGACTCTGTTTTTCAACCTCAGATGCAATAGACAAATATGGGACAAGTAATTCAGACTGTATGACGGCTTTTTGACTTAATGAATCCCTGTTTCGTTTTAATTCGGAGTAACATGGATGTTTCTGAATTTTAGTCAGCTTTGCTTCTTCTTGAGCGCGAACAAGTGATTCATATAAGTATTGTGTACGTTGAAATTCTTCCATCTGAAGAGAAACAAAAGTATGTGGTAAAATTAACAATATTTGGAATCAGTAGTCAGTTAGACTAATCCTATTGTTTCGTACATGCTTAAACGGTTGACGGTAATTTTGAAAACAAACAACGAACAAACTAGTAACATTTATTTTTAGTGTTGAGTATTCCACTGATAAGTTTAATTGTTTGAAATAATTCCAAATACTACTTACCTCATATTATCTTTGGGTAATAACGTTATGATGTCCCTATTGATTGGTAAGTAAGCGAAGATAGACATTCAGTTGCGCTAAATGTGTGAGACAATACAATCTTGTCAACTTCCCATTGTTGATTTCACTAGTAATACACGCGGAAATTTGATTTCGACTAAACTGTCGTTGACTCCCTGTACTTTGAGTAAATACATTATCTCTCTAAACTGCCCCTAAATCCTCGGTCAGATATCGTGTATGTGTGTACAATGCGACCTCGTATAGTAATTTATTAATTAGTGTCGTCGTCGACGTAGAGCCTGTCACAGATGTGTGTTAGCCCAAGTTGTTATACAAATTAGCACAGTATGAAATCAACAAGGTGTATAGCGAAATAGATCGAAACAATATAGTAGCAACGACAATAAGAAAAGACTAAGTAGAAAAGTGAATGAGGGGGTCCAAAATCAATAAATAAAGAGCGAACGTATCTGAGACATCGTGAACGATTATGAGCCACATCATAAAAAGTGCCAAGCCACTGATCGAAGATATCACGGTTATTGCAAAAACACTAACTAGGTAGTCCGAATCTACCAACGTGACTCAGACCAAGTCAATGATTTCAATGACTTATTCCACAAATTGGTCAGGCCTCCTCAAACTTTCCTCCGATCTACTCCTATACCAACCGAAACCCCCCACTGAGGTCAATTAGCCAGTCTATTTTCAAAGTATTATTGTATTTTACTAAAATGGCAAATCATTTATTTTGCTATTATAACAATCCACTCTAACTTGGGTTAGCTTAGCAGCAAAACATTTTATTTGTATGGATAAACTGGAACCCGATTGATTTGCCGGTGTCACAAGTAACAGCATTGAAAGTAACATTACCAATAGGTGAAATTTCATAATGATAATTATTCTTCTAACAGAAATATGTTGAAACAAGCCATTCAAGTGGTATAGCTCATATCTGTAACCATTAACGTATCTAAAAAACAATTTCAATGATGTACTAACCTCCAGGAAATCAACACGTAGAAAATGCAAGTACGAGTACGTGAAAGATAAAATTCGTATGAACTTAAGTAAAATGTATTTGAAGAACATTGGATGATAAAAATATTTAATATTAAAACTAATACTCGTACATCTTTTGCTATCTTTCGAGAATTTTCAAACTCGGCCATTTGTTGTAATCGAAGACGTTCACGTGAGATACGCTCTTCTTCCATTTTCTCTTCCATAAGGAGTCTTGCTTTCTCTTCTTCTTTTAGACGACGTTTTTCTTCAATCTGTTTCAAATTTATCAACTAAAACATAGACAATAAACGAATCATAAAATCACAAAAGAGTATTTCTAATTTTTTTCTCCAAATGTTTGATATTGATAGCCTAATAAGATATTGGTGTTGATGAGCAAAGGAAACGACGCGTATCATAGAACTATATAATTTACTTCAGTTAAAGGTAATAGTTTAATAGAACGAAAACCAGCTATAGTAACTACAAAAATTAATCACAGCGATTATTTTAACAGAAATTTCGATTCCAGATGGAAAGTTTTTGAACAAAATGACCAGTATGAAATGGTCATACCTCCAGCCTCCAACACTCTCAGCACATAAATATGATTAAACTCGATAATTATTGCACAAGTTTGTGAAAATAATGAAACCAACTTATACAATCAGCCTTTTATTACAAAAAAAACATGTGAGATTACTCTACAAGTGTAAATGCTGATGGATGAATGATTTCCTTAGGAAAATAACTAGAAAACAACTAGCATAAAAATATCCCACAAATCCACTTTTAATGCTAATGTCCTTATCTGATGAGTATAAACCAATAACATTAATTGTCAAATAGTGTATCATACGATGTAAAACTTTAGGTTAAACAATCTTCAAAACACCCTGAAATAACAGTGTATTAACAGTATGCTAGTTGATAGAAATCAACCAAGTTCGGAATGTATACTTTGTTTTGACTGGGACTTGTCCTCACTAAAACACAGATCAAATAACATTTATGACATAATAATGAACTATTCGACGTAATAACTTTGAAGATAAATTTTTGAAGCCTAAGATGATGCTTCCTAGAGCACAGGTAGATCCGAATAATAGATTTAAAATAACAGGATGTATGTTCAACATTTTATTCATTGTCTAGCACATCATTCGGATTAAATTTATGATAGTATCTGGGCTTCACTAAGAAAGCCTATAAGCCAAGAGTGGAGGATCATGTCGGATGTTTACTTATTAATTAATTGTCCGTTAGTCAGTTGCAAATTTCTGACTTAGTATGTAAAATATTAGCATAACATCAATCAAAAAATTTTCATGTGACAGTAAGTAAATACAAAAACAATAAAATAGTAGAAAGTATGTTCCAAAACTCACCTGTACATATCACAAATGTACTATGATATACATTTTTTTCCTACGCTAAATGATGATGACTAAATGACCCAGTGTACTCATCGTTACCACTTCAATCCATTATAATTTACTAATCACCAGAACTCTTCATATTGACTTATAAAATAGTAGGTTCAAACTGACTGTACATTTGTTTATGATGTACTACAGTTATTTCTTCGCTCATAACCATATTAGGTTTCACAAACAACTAGAATGAGTTGTACTTAAAATAAATAAAATCTTAGACAGCGAACGAATTTGTAACTACATTATGGAATGATAATCTGTTGGTAGACCTAGATACTAGTTAGCACCCAGATAACCCCATAAACACCATGCACAAAACTGAGTCTTGAAGTAGAAACATCATTTATAAGCCTTAAAGGTAAAGGCATAGAATTCCAAAGATAATCTTCAGGATCATCTAACATGAAAGTATACTCAACACTCATAAAAGATTAAACAGACACATAAAAGTTATAGACTGTTGAATTGGCTATCGCTAAATACATGGCAGAAAGGATTACTGGTATGTTCACGTTCAATCAGTCAGAAACAAGACCATCGACCACAAAATATGATTTGGAAACTTTATATTTACCTGCTAATGTGCGACAATTAGCTCCCGATCCGGATGGTATAAGTAAGAAACCCTAGAAAATCTTCCATACTTAGTGTTTGAAATTTGTTATTAATGAATAGTATTATATTCTGACTTAAGCTTTCCCTAACAATAATGTATGTATTCCCAAAAAACGTTTTGTGGTTAGTAGCCCCCAAATGCCCTGGTACGGCCGAGAGTGCGGAGAGTCCGCTCTCCCTCTCGAAATGCTCTCACATGGCCACACGTATACAGCCCCTGCCAGGGAAGTCCTACTCACTGCCTTCTCGTGGCATTACTGTTGTTTACAAAAATGAGAGGACGAAAAGCGAATGTCCGGCGCTTTAACCGGACCCCAAACCAATGGTGCACATGGACTCCAGTATCCTACGGGAACAAATGACGTATGAAACAATCGCTGGTCACCGGCTACCATGGGACTGCATCTCCTCACGATGCTCCACTGCCTTGTGGGTCAGACGTTCAGGTCGAAGGCTCGTGATGTGGCCTCCTAAGAAAATCACCTGCTTCGGTTTGGGCACCCGGGCAGTATCACAGCCCTCACACAAATCAATTGTGATCTGTGTGGCGCATATGTATTTTGTGCCTCCTTGTACCAATACTTATGTGTTAAAATTAAATAAATAAATAAATAGTAATTTATGACTTTATTTTAAGTGTGACGCTTCCCATTTTACCTTATTTTTCAACGATTCCCAAGAGCTTGTTAACCCAGTAGTCCAGTCATAAGTCAGTAACCTATCTTGTTGCTTAAAAATGTAAATAAAAATATACCCTATTTACAACGCTAAATACATTAATGCGCTTTTACCTGTTTTGAATAACTTCTAGTCACCTAGTTCTGAAAAATACTAGTGGGGAGAATGAGATAATCAAGCTGAGAGTAAAATAATTTAGAAATTATGCGAGGAAAACTGTAATTTTGAATATTTTGTAACCGATTCAGTGGTTATGATTAACCAAAATTCATAACTTTGTTAACAAGACTCTCAGTCATAAATCCAAGCTGTTTACCACACATTTTATGATGAACATTATTGATAATATCAAACATTATTTAAAATCCATATTAATAGTATCTGACGTCATGTATGAGTAAATAAAGTTAGATGATCACTGAAAACAAATTGTTAGTGGTTGTAACTACCTTTTGGTTTACCAGAGATTACTGAAATGTTGTGTATTTTGTGAGTCCGACTAGATTCCGGACGTATGTAGTGCTTGAGAGACAGAAACGGCAAAACCAAAATCAAGAAACGAATCGTTCATTGAAGAACAATCAGACGGAACGAACAAAACTAAAGATCAAAAGATTGCTAATGTTTAATCACCGATATCATCACAGTGACGTGATAGTGCTACTGTTGGTATGAAGCGTAACACAAATAGATATACCATCTTGTAAAAATTTAGAAGTTATATGGTCCTTTAGCGATTGAAGCATTATGTTTACAACTAGTTTAGGTTTAAACCGTGCTTTAACTAGTTCGTTCTAGCTGAGTAGTATTACAAACATTCATACAAACACACTTAAAGTCGAGGGCACAGACCTGTACAACACTTTTTGTTAATATTTTATCTTGATTCGGGTGATTTTTAAAAATTCCTTTTTCATCATTCTAGAATATCTACAGAAAGCTTACATTATAATGACAATTATTACGAACAGAGGGAAAGAACTTAGTATATCTACTTTACAACTTACTCTAGTTTCGTGAGCAAGTCGCGCACGTTCAGCGGATTCCAAGGAATCTGTATACAGTTGTTGAGTAAAACCTCGAACACGATTAAAACCAACCTTCCAGGGTTGGTTAGGAGTATCCTTTTTACCAGATGATGCATGGAAATCGTTGGTAACAGTTGAATCAGGTAAAAAGAAACCTGACGACATAAAATGACTAGCCGAAGGATGTGATGCCAATGCGTTGTTAGATGGATTGCTATTTCAAACAAAATTTTTAAATAAAAATACGTGTGTTGGTGCAATACTGAAAAGATAAGACAGAATATTCTTTGAAAACACAGTAAAATCATAGTATGAGTGGCGGATAACATTGTGAATATATTACTTTTCGGAAATACCTTGTATGTACTTGAGAAAAAGTTCATTCTTTCAATATCTAGTTAATACAAGCAAGCATATTTTAAAAGGCTCACTTCGATATACTTAATCCATGAAATGCAGTTGAGTTGTCACAATGTCCCAAGTCATTTGAAGAAGATCCCGACTGAATTTTATTGAATCTGCAGTCCTTTTGCAGTTCCTGAGGATTTTTGCACCGCATAAGTTGTTGCTCTTTCAGTTGTTCATCTAAAGCAGCCTTCCACTGTCGACGATTTTCTTCCTAAAACATAAGTTGACTTCTTAAATAAAATATGAAAATATATCATAGGAGACTGGAAACTATTTTGTTTGCTTCTGAAATTCCTTAAAGGGCTCCACTAATTACATTAAACAAATCCTCTTTTAAATACATTTTTTAATATATGTTCAACCTTGAGCTGAAATAGAATAGGATATTTCGTTGTGATTTTTTCTCATCCAGTAAAACACAAACAAACAACACCGCACGAAAACATAACCGGAGTTTAAACATGTGCTTGGAAAAAATGAGTTTTCAATCAGCCCTCAAAATTTATGGGTGGAAATTTTATCTCTTTACCCACAATTATTTTGATAACGGAGGATCAAACAGTGAAGCTTTCTACATCTACCGTCGTGACTTGCAAGAAACAAACGGTTAAACGAGCGTATTGAAAATAATGTTATAATCCCGAAATCTCCAACTTCATTCATTGCTGGTAATCTGTCTGTGTGTTATAACTCGTCCCTGTCTGATGAAAAATGTGATGCTAATACGATTAGAAGCGTAGAAAAGCGTCAGAGTATAAGGGGAAAAACGTGAAATTCTATGTGAATCTATGAAGTTTGTGTACTACTGTGAAACTAGTGAAGGAAAGTGTATTTTTATGATTAATGTTAGTTTGGTGGTTCATTTGTGACTAACTCATTCAAACTCAATCAACAAGTTACAGGTTTAAGCCGCAAGTCATGTACTCCTAGTTGAGCGTATAGGTATTATTACTCTCCGAAACACGAATGTTTCCAAGTCAAATACGTGAGTCTGTGCTGAATAAATCAGTCACAAGTAAGGTTTTTGAGACGGTATATATTGGTACTTCATAACATTAAGCTCAAAGGTGGGCCAGTAAGCTACTAATAAACACATGAAAACAATGTTGCCTCTTAGGTATTTATAAATCAGTGAAACAATACCCAGAGAGTGATAGAAAATATCTTTTTACACAGTTTTAGGTAATCTACATAGAGAAGGTTGCATACTTGTTTTGACAAATGAGCGTCTTGTCCAGAACCAAAAGCCATAGGAGTAAGAGCAGGGACATTGTCTATCTGATTGTCGCTAATTGCGGTCGGATTAGACAGTTTTTCTGTAGACTCGGGATTGGATTTACCGGTTGGGAAATCGACTTTAGTATCCGAAAGAACATTTGAAGCTTCTAGTTTCTGAAAACTAGGTGTATCCAAGCAATCAGGTTGTTTATCCCATAGGTCATATGTGATTTGAGTTGACGAGTTAGCTAAAAATAAAGAAGTATTATGATTAAACACTAACCTCATACATATTTGGGAACTTATTATCGATAAACACTACTTACCTACATCTCCACTCCACTGATGTTTGTTTTTGTCTGAGGCTGGCATGTCGCATTGGCTTAGTTTGCTGTTTGGATCGGGCATCTTCGAATCTAAAGGAGTTTTAGGAGCATTCTTGGAGATGCAAACCACGCTCTTGAAATGAGAAGAAAAAAGTACTTACATACCTTCTGTGTTGTATCCTGTAACACTAGGAAGTGGTGAAGGAGGAAGAATAATCTTACCATTGGCTCCAAGCTTTGATTTCGCGTCTAGATATACTGAAGTGAGGACTTTTACCAAGGATGATTCCGGAAGCTTATCATGGTTCAAGTCGATGACATCTCTTAAGACGGAATCTATAATTGCTTCATTATCTGAGAGCTTTGACTTTAACCCCGACTAAGTACAAGAACTATTTTAGTCAAATTTCAGTCTTACTGATCCCAAGGCAGTCCCATTTTCATGTGTTCCCTGTCTAATTCCATTTTGGCCTAACCATGACATTCAAACATATACACCACATACGTGTGAAATACCCCTGAATCTCCTTCAGTTGTTTCTGAGATATGGTCGAAATAACGTTTGATGTCTTCGACTTCTTCATTTCTGATACTAATATTTGCAGTTTAGTGCTGAGCATACCTTGATTGAGTTTATATGTCGATTTTCCTTTATTTTCACGGTTATTTCATATATTATGAGAGAATATATGAAGCTAGTCAAGAACATGTCACTTCAACCGACAGCTATCATTGTCGTTACAAAATCACTGAATATACATGTCACTATAGATTTTACAGGAGGCGTTGGATACGATGAAGGTCAGTAGTGTAACGCCAAATTATTAACTTGTCAGGAATCCAATTTTTCTTGAAAGATAATATGTTGATTATCCGTGTCGAACCATTGCCTCAAGTAGATTTCTTTGTAAATTCAGTGTTTTCTAGAACTAACCAATCAGAATACATGTCTCATTGCACCAAGTTCATCAAATCCAAAATTAGATTCAGTTACAATTTCGATTTGGAAAGGACAGGAGGCTAGGTGGCCTGTGTTAGTCTTGGTAATGATTGTCTCTCAGATGACCCAGCTTTTTATCGGAAGAGCCGACAGTTGAAGCCCCAACCACGTGTTGAGGTATTGAATTCCACTTGATGATGATTCAATGGGAAAGTCGATAGTCAGGTGACAAGTAATTTGCTCTGAGCTTGTCAACTATTTTGGAGTGCCCTCGCTAATTTTCCGTTTTGAAAGACAAAAAATGAGAGAATACGAGGCGCGCCAGATGATGAGTGGGAACGCCGTGCTTAACTTTTCCTGCAGCCACAAACCAGTTTAGATCAGTCACTTCTCGATATATTGAGAGCCTATCAAATGTATCTTCCAACCTCCTCGCTTCTGACTTTTAACTTGACTGGGTGAGCATGATTCAATTATAGAAGATGTTACTTGTCAAAGTGCTGTCAAACTACAAACACTTGTGGCATATTCATAGGCTTAGTTTAGCTAGTCGAGTATCATACAGGAGCTTCTATATTCCGAGAATCATCCTGGGTACTGTTCTCTGAACCTTAACCTAAAGCTTACTGTCTTTTGTTAAACAAAGGCTAGCCGCCTGTATTCAGCACTTGAGTTTAGTTCGCACGAATACTATGTACAACGTCAATAAAGTTTTAGCGTCGACATGACTGAAGGCCTTATGTATTGAACATAAGATTACAAATCCTTTGGAGGCTATTGCATGGCAGTGAGCAATAGTTTTTAAGTTTTAGCCGACAAAGACTCCTAAATCATCATGTGCCTAGACAATAGATAGCTAAATGTTATTCATAGTGTATGTTTCCGTACACTGATGACCAATATGCACCACAATACAGTTAGAAATATTCGTCGGCAATTGCCAAGTCTGAGACCACTCCAGGTCATTTTGAAGTTCTAAGCTATCACCTTTGCTTCATATAGCTCTCCGTATCTTGACATCGTCAGCAAATAGCAAGACCTATGATGCTAAGAGACGAAGGAGGTCACTGACATACAAGAGGAATAACACTGGCTCCAAAACTGTACTTTCAGGCGCTCTGATAAGCGCAGTTTCCCAGCTAGACAACTTTGAGTTCATCCATACTCTTTGTTGGCGCCCAACTAGGAAGTCTATTATCCACATTAGTAGATTGCCTCCAACCCTGAAATTCCTTAACTTATATGGCAGTCGGTTGTGAGAAACATTGTCAAGAGCTTTCCTGAAGTCAATGTAGGCTGTCTATAGGTAAATTTTAATTTTTTTTTAGGAACGCACCAATTATGACGTGCTACAAATAACTTGTTGAGACACTTGATATTCTATTTTAACGTCATACTGATTTTCTGAACGAATTCGATTTTCAAAAAATACGTAAACAGCTCCTTCCCAATAATATTTTCTAAACTTTTAACAGCCACTTTGGTCAGGCTGACGGGTCGTTAGTTCTCAGGTTTATGTTTCGGACCTGCTTTGAAGACAGGAATTACTACGGCGTTCTTCCAGTCTTTTGGCAGTCAACCCTAAATTACGAATAGATTAAAACATAATTTTAAGGGGTTTGCGACGAAATTAACTAGTTCCTTTAGTAACCTAGGATGCATCTAATTGGGCTACTTGGATTTGCCCACATTATGTTTATTTAGCAGACCAAAGATATTGAGCTCTTTAATGGGCACATTATCCAATGTATGTTCGTTAGGAATTGTACAAACTGACGGGAAGGGTGTCTCTACAGTACATTCATTGCTAAAGTGGTTTGAGCCTTACCATAGTCGCCCTTCACTAATGATTAAGCATTACTGTCTCCCCATAGTGCTTATTACGGGAGAAGTGAAGACATGTAGCAGATTAAAAACTGTTATACTTAATATTATTAATTACACTGTTTTGGGTGAACTTGTTTTACTCAACTTCTGGACCTGTTTATCCATATCTTTGTCTTCGGATATTTTGATTACTCTTTGACTTGGGTTTGATATTTAGAAGCTTTTTTCTCCAGGAACCTAAAAACTTGAAGGTTTGTTTCGCAACTGGTATGATTATTATTAGAACGATATTCGTGTCAATTATTTGTAATTTGAGAATAAATTTTGGTGCATGTAATGGTGTTCAGTCTTATTGTTATCTTACGTCCATAAGTTTAGGGCATTCTATAGATTCCTTAACATTTTTTTTCTTCGTACAACCTAGACTTTCAGAGGGTCGGGGCAAGGTACTCCAAACTTCTCGATATTGAGATTTGTCTCATCAGTACCCAGTAAATTAAATCTTTCTCAAATTCTTCTCCTCTTATGGAGAAGTGTGTGAACCTCACTGCCGAACCATGGTGGAGAGATTTTCGGACCCCCTGGTGCAGTCCAAGGGATGCGGGATGCAGTAAACTTTAAGTACAAATTTCGAAATACATCCCAAGCCGTTCCGATCGGGAACCCTGGCTCTATTGTCCAATATACCGACGATGCTGAGTGTATAATGTCTTCTACATTTGCTTTCTATGTGTTAGGTCTGGGTTGGGCTCGTTTTGGACAACTATATGAGAGTCAAAGATTAGAACTGCGAGATCACTTTTACCTAGGGGTGGTATATAATTGAGATTTGTGATGTCATATTCCTAATGGGTCAATATAAGATCTAGTAAGGATGATTCAGAGTCCGAGTCGTATCTAGTGGCTTATTTCACATGTTGCACTAAGGCATATGTGATAACCTCATCAACTAGTTCCTGCTCGAAGGAATTTTCTGACATTTCAGTTCTCAGATTTTTCAGTCTGCCGAGGATGCATTGAAGTTTCTTGGATCAGACATCGACCATTTTGAGACAAAGTGTTGAAACTATCTGTCAAGACCTTATTCACATAATAACTTGGACTGCGGTAGACCAAATCAATCAACAACTCTTATCCCTTGAATTTCAAGCGGCAACTAACTGATCCGCATGTCTAAATCTCATGGGATACACTGTCGATAATGGCAAGTGGGATAATATTTCTAATAAATAGAGCTACACCCCTCCTTTATGCTTATGGATTCTGTCGGCTCTTACTAGGGTGAAACCTTCAAAATAAGGTTTCATACTATCTATAGGCTGCGTCAGCCAAGATTCTGTGTCTTGGTAGAGTAAGTCTGTACACCTTGTTCCGATCGCTTAATGAACAAGCTTCGAGCATTTGTGTGACGGGCCCGAAGCCTATTTAAATGACTTCGTGCTGCACCCATAGTGGCTTTGGCATCATTTTCTGTCAACGCCTCACAAACTGAAAAAACCTTTTCACCAGCATCCTACCTAATTTTTAGTTTTTTTCAGATTCTCGTCTTTCACATGGTCTGAGTTTGACATTCCCTTAAGGACAAAAACTCCTGAACCCTTTAGCTTATGTCCATTCCTTAACATTAAGTCCCGTTCACTAGGAGATTTAAATACTAATTTAAGCAGCCTGGTTTGATTTGGTTTTAAGTTCGTTTGACTCCGGAGATATGCTAGGGCATAAGCATATTTAGTAACTGTTTCATCAACCCAACGTCATGCTCAAACGAGTTTTAGGTTTTGAGCTTTCTACAAAAGATAACTGACCTGTCGTTGTGATCTGTTCGTGCCTTAAATACGCAAAACCGAGGGCCTGCATTCTGTTATGCTAGTGTATAAGTGCGTCATTCCTTCTGAGTATTTGAAAGATCTATACATGGGTTTTATGTGTAGTTGGTTCCACGAAGAGCTTAACTTGGACCATTATAACACTAACTCATATGATTTCGAGATGAGCTCAGCTACACAGACAGTTGAATGGAACTTCATTACTGCCAAAAACTCGACATCAGCCTGTTCAAGACTACTTCATGATACTACTTTCAATACAACTTAATCTACACCTCTAATAACCAAAGATTATTCTTCCCCTGTCTGCTTCTTATAACAGTCGTAGAGATAGTTAATACAGACTATCTTGATTTCTTTGATCGTTCGTGGAGTGACCGCTGCAGTAAGGTCTGTGTGTGCTGCTTCGATGTCCTGTGGGTTCAATTTAGGTAGCCAATTAAATAGTTAAGCAAAGTTTTCCACCCATTTGTTCCCTTGTTCTTGAATTTCAATGATTGTCATACCTTCTATTTATTGACTGGTCGCTCTGGTTTATTATATTTTCCTGCTCGTTTCTTCGGTGCGTCACATATTCGCCTCAAATTTCCTTCTGTTGCAACCTTTTCTGCTGTCTTTGCTAGTTCTTCCACGTATTTCTGATTATTGGTTCTAATGCTCCTCTTCAATTGCTTGTTTTCTTCTGTGTATTTACCTTGTGCCTCGACTTTCCTTGCTCTTGTTCAGCTGTTGTTAACTGCTGTCTTCTTGTTCTTCTTTTCTTGAATCCTGTCCAGCACTTCGATATCGATCCATTCCGTGTGATGGTGCATTCCTGTTGTTGAGAGTTTTCTTGAATTTATTGAGTTTGTCAGTATGTTGAGAGAAGGCTGTATTGAAAATTTGTAGTGCTGTTGTTCCATTTGTCTACTATTTTCTTAGCTTCAGTTTCATCCTGGCAACCACTAGGTGATGATTTGAAGCTATGTCAGCTCCTCTCCTGGTTCTCAAGTCTTATACTGATCTACTGAATAATTAAGGGACGCAAATATGATCGATCTGATTCACTGCAGTGTGATCTGGTGAGGAACATGTTGCTCTCTGTGTGAGTTTGTGCTCCGCACTGATAGATCTAATACCACGATTGGTCGATTCGTTTCTTGCTTCTCATCTGAGACGCAATGAAAGATATGTTCTGTATTAGTATAAATCATACGATTGT